TGTTGACGCCATTAACCCCTATCTTGCCATGGAATGCATCATCAAGCTCAACAAGGAGAAGCTCATCAAGAAGAAGCTGACCGATGATGAGCTCATCTACAACTACAAGCACTCCTGCGATGGTGGAATCCTCAAAGTCATGAGCAAGATGGGTATCTCTACCTTGGCCAGTTACAAGGGTGCCCAGATCTTTGAGGCCTTGGGTGTCGATGACAGTGTGGTTGAGCACTGCTTCAAAGGTACTGCCTCCCGTATCAAGGGTATAACCTTTGAAGTTATCGCCGAGGATGCCTTCCGTTTGCACGAGCGCGGTTTCCCATCGCGTTACACCGTTGCTGTTCCTGGGCTTCCTGAGTCCGGTGAATATCACTGGCGTGACAATGGCGAGGCACATGTCAACGATCCTACTTCAATTGCCAACATCCAGGATGCCGTCCGCACTAAGAACGACAAGTCTTATGAGGCCTATTCACTCTCCGAATACGAGCAGATCAAGTCTTGCACGCTTCGTGGTATGCTTGACTTCAAGTTCGAGGAAACCACTCCTATTCCCATTGACCAGGTCGAGCCTTGGACCGAGATTGTTCGCCGATTCTGCACTGGCGCCATGTCGTATGGTTCTATCTCCCTCGAGTCTCACTCAACCCTAGCTGTTGCCATGAACAGGCTCGGTGGCAAGTCCAACACTGGTGAAGGTGGTGAGGATCCTGAACGCTCTCAGAGACTGCCGAACGGCGATACCATGCGCTCAGCCATCAAGCAGGTTGCATCAGGTCGTTTCGGTGTCACATCTGCTTATCTGGCCGACTCTGATGAGCTTCAGATCAAGATGGCACAGGGTGCCAAGCCTGGTGAGGGTGGTGAGCTTCCCGGACACAAGGTCTCCAAGTCCATTGCCCGCACTCGTCACTCTACCCCTGGTGTCGGTCTCATCTCGCCCCCTCCCCATCACGACATCTACTCGATTGAAGACTTGAAGCAACTCATCTATGACCTCAAGTGCTCGAGCCCCCGTTCTCGTGTCTCTGTCAAGCTTGTGTCTGAGACTGGTGTCGGTATCGTTGCCTCTGGTGTCGCCAAGGCCAAGGCTGATCATATTCTTATCTCCGGCCATGATGGTGGCACCGGTGCCTCTCGCTGGACTGGTATCAAGTACGCCGGTCTCCCGTGGGAGTTGGGTCTTGCTGAGACTCATCAGACATTGGTTCTCAATGATCTCCGTGGTCGTGTTGTCGTTCAGACTGATGGTCAGCTTCGTACCGGTCGTGATGTTGCCATTGCTTGCTTGCTGGGCGCTGAGGAATGGGGTTTCGCTACCACTCCTCTCATTGCCATGGGTTGCATCATGATGCGCAAGTGTCACTTGAACACCTGCCCGGTTGGTATTGCCACCCAGGACCCTGAGCTTCGTAAGAAGTTCACTGGTACTCCTGAGCATGTGATCAACTTCTTCTACTACGTGGCGAACGAGCTCCGTGCTATCATGGCCAGGCTTGGTTTCCGCACCATCAACGAGATGGTTGGTCATGTTGAGGTGCTCAAGGTCCGCGAGGATCTCAGGACCAAGAAGACTTCCAACATTGATCTGTCTCTTATCCTGACGCCCGCTCATAAGCTCCGTCCCGGAGTTGCGACCTTCAATGTCCGCAAGCAGGATCATAAGCTTTACGTCCGCTTGGACAACAAGCTTATTACTGAGGCTGAGCTCACCCTAGATAAGGGACTGCCTTCGCGTATTGAGTGCGATATCGTCAACACTGATCGCGCCATGGGCACTTCGCTGTCCTACCAAATCTCCAAGCGTTACGGCGAGAAGGGCCTGCCTGATGATACTGTCCATGTTAACATCAAGGGTTCTGCAGGCCAGTCCTTCGGCGCTTTCCTTGCTCCAGGTGTCACGCTCGAGTTGGAGGGTGATGCGAACGACTACGTCGGCAAGGGCTTGTCCGGTGGTAGACTCATTGTCTACCCTCCTCGTTCCGCCGTGTTCAAGGCCGAGGAGAACATTATCGTTGGTAACGTCTGCTTATACGGAGCCACCAGTGGTACCTGCTTCTTCCGCGGCGTTGCAGCTGAACGTTTCGCCGTGCGCAACTCCGGTGCCACCGCCGTTGTCGAGGGTGTCGGTGATCACGGTTGCGAGTACATGACTGGTGGTCGGGTCGTCATCTTGGGAAGCACTGGTCGCAACTTTGCCGCTGGTATGTCTGGTGGCATCGCCTACATCTTGGATATTCAAGGCGACTTCTTGTCCAAGCTTAACACCGAGATGGTTGAAGCCAGCACGCTTGAGGAGGCCGAGCCCGAAGAGATTGCATTCATCCGCGGTCTCGTCGAGGATCATCACCATTATACTGGTTCCGAGCTTGCCGCTCGTATTCTTGTTGACTTCTCCCGTGCCCTCAAGCGCTTCATCAAGGTGTTGCCCGTCGACTACAAGCGCGTGCTGGAAGAGGAGAAGGCCAAGGCTGCTGAGCAGGCCGCTGAGAACAAGCGGGCTGAGTACAACCTCCCTACGGCTGGCAAGAAGGAGAAGGATCCCCATGCGCCCAAGCTTCAGGATATCGAGGAGAGCATCACCGATAGTACTATCAGCAAGAAGAAGGCTCTTGTTTTGGACAAGACGCGCGGTTTCATGAAGTATCAGCGCCGTGCTGAGAAGTACCGGAAGCCTGCGACTCGTGTCAAGGATTGGGCAGAACTGTCCCAGCGTCTTGACGAGGATGAGCTCAAGTACCAATCTGCCCGTTGTATGGACTGCGGTGTTCCCTTCTGCCAATCTGACAGCGGCTGCCCGATTTCCAACATTATTCCCAAGTGGAACGAGCTGGTCTTCCAGGGTCAGTGGCGGGATGCCTTAAACCGCCTGCTCATGACCAACAACTTCCCCGAGTTCACTGGTCGCGTTTGCCCTGCTCCTTGCGAGGGTGCTTGCGTCTTGGGAATCAATGAGCAGCCTGTCGGTATCAAGTCCATTGAGTGCGCCATCATTGACCGTGGTTTCGAGATGGGATGGATGGTACCGGAGCCCCCTAAGATCCGCACTGGCAAGAACGTTGCCGTTATTGGATCTGGTCCCGCTGGTCTTGCTGCCGCCGATCAGCTGAACAAGGCTGGCCACAGCGTTACTGTGTATGAGCGTGCCGACCGTCTTGGTGGTCTGCTCATGTACGGTATTCCCAACATGAAGTTGGACAAGCGCATCGTCAAGAGGCGTACCGATTTCATGGCTGCTGAGGGTGTCCAGTTCAAGACTGGCGTCGCGGTTGGCGAGGACATCACACTCATGGACATTAAGAAGCAGAACGATGCCGTCATCATCGCTACCGGTGCCACTGTGGCCCGCGACCTCCCCATCAAGAACCGTAACCTTGAGGGTATTCATTTCGCTATGGAGTTTCTGCACAAGAACACCAAGTCCCTTCTCGATTCTGAGCTGGCCGATGGCTCCTACATCTCTGCCAAGGATAAGCATGTCATCGTCATCGGTGGTGGTGATACTGGTAACGATTGCATTGGTACCTCTGTCCGTCATGGTGCAAAGTCTGTCATCAACTTCGAGCTTCTCCCCAAGCCTCCCCCGGCTCGTGGCCGCGACAACCCGTGGCCTCAGTGGCCCCGCATCTACCGCGTGGACTACGGCCACGATGAGGTCAAGCAGCACACGGGCAAGGATCCTCGTGAGTACTGCATCATGTCCGAGGAGTTTGTCGATGATGGCACTGGCAAGGTCAAGGGCATCAACACCATCCGCGTGGAGTGGACCAAGTCCGCCAGCGGCGGTTGGGACATGAAGAAGATCGAGGGCTCGCAGCAGTTCTTCCCTGCCGACCTTGTCCTTCTGTCCATGGGCTTCCTTGGACCTGAGGCTCGTGTACTCGGCGATGAGATCGAAAAGGATCCTCGCAAGAACGTGAAGACTCCTGTAGGCAAATACAGCACCAACGTCGAGGGCGTGTTTGCTGCCGGTGATTGCCGGCGTGGTCAGTCGCTCATCGTCTGGGGCATCAACGAAGGTCGCCAGGCTGCTCGCGAGGTTGATCTGTACCTCGAGAAGAGCACAAGCTTGCCTGTTACTGGTGGTATTGTTAAGCGCACCGCTGAGGAGGTGTTTGCCGCCGCTGCCGCAGCTTAAACGATGGTGTCACAAGGCATGATTTCAGGAAGAGGACGTGGTTGGGATCCTTTCCATATTGGATGAGAATGGCGATGGAATTTCCAATGGTTTATTCTGCATCGAGTTCATCCAAGATTGATACCATGTGTGGAACGTTTCGTTTCTTGATTTCGAGTCTCGGATTATTTTCCTGTTGTTTTGCATTTGAAAAGCATGCATGCTAGCTCATATGGCCCTTTAGGGATTGCGATGTCCTCGCCAGTTTTCTGTTACTTTTCATAGCTAGATCATTTGGTTTTAGGGTGGTCGGGTTGCGTAGGTATACACTATTACCATTTGTGAATACATAGTTTCTCACAATGCCCGAGCACTACTGCATCAGATGTGACTGACTTGTTGTAGGTAACATGTGAAGTTGTGAGGCTATCGTGACATTGTCTTGGCGGACTCAGAAACCGAGGACGGCGACGGGAGCACGTGTAGCAATGATTGGCCAATTGCAGGTCTGAATACCCCTGCTATTGCTGGTGAACTTCAGTGGAGCAAACCCCGAACACGCCCCGACACAATCCCTGCTACAGTGACGAAGTGATGTGGGGATACGTTTCCAAAGGGCTTGCGGATGGATCCACGAAGTCTGGCGGCTCCACGAACCACGAGCAACCAAACACTGGCGCAATGACCTCTGCTCAATCTTGTGATCGCATCTTGTTTCCGTCTGCCCGTTTTTCACCCTTCTTGAGAGCTTGAGGTCCCGACTACTCGCAATCGATTATCACAACAGCATCATCATATCGTATTTTGTCAACAGCATCTTCGAGACAAGCCTCGATAGCAGCACAACCATCACCACCACCACCACCACGACAACACCACTGCGACCATGCGTTTCGGCAAGACGCTCAAGCAGTCTATTTACGAGCCATGGCGGGACAAGTACATCGACTATAACAAGCTCAAGAGCATCCTCCGAGAGGATAAGCCCGACGATGATGACGAGCCATGGACCGAGGAGGACGAGAACCGCTTCTGCGACGAGATTTTCAACACCCAGCTCGAAAAAGTGGCCCAGTTCCAGGAGGAGAAGATGCAGGAGCTGCGTCAACGAGTAGATACCGCCTTCGACAAGCTCAGAGAGCTGCCGCCGGCCGATGCGGAAAACAAGGACAAGCCGACCGACGAAGCCCTTGCTCAACGACTCAAGGACCTCGAGGCCGAGCTGGATGGCATCACGAACGAGGTCAAGGAACTCCAGAAGTACAGCAACCTAAACTACACGGGCTTCCTCAAGATCGTCAAGAAACATGATCGCAAGCGTGGTGATCGGTACAAGATCCGTCCCATCATGCAGGTCAGCCTGTCTAAGCGGCCCTTCAACTCGGAGCAAGGGTACTCGCCTCTGCTCAACAAGCTGTCACTCATGTACTTCGCCATCCGCCAACACCTCGAAGAGAATGCTCCCGCCGAGCCGTATCTGGATCCCGAAAGTCAACCCGAGACACACAATGGCGAGAAGTACACGGCCTACAAGTTCTGGGTGCACCCGGACAACCTGCTCGAGGTTAAGACGTATATACTCCGCCGGCTCCCTACTCTTGTCTACAGCCAACAGTCGGCCAAGGAGTGGGATGAAGATGAGGACCCGACTATCACATCTCTGTACTTTGACAGCCCCCACTTCCAAATGTACAACCAAAAGGTGGATCGTGAAACCGAGGCGTCATCGCTCCGCTTACGTTGGTATGGTCAACTGAGCCAAAAGCCCGATATTGTGCTGGAGCAAAAGATCATTCACGACAACGGCACCAGCGAGGAACGCAAGTTTCCCATAAAGGAGAAGTTCATAAAGTCGTACTTGGATGGCGAGTACAAGATGGAGAAGTCGATCCAGAAGATGGAACGGCAGGGCCAGAGTACCGCAGACATTGAGGAGTTCCGTTCCACTGCCGATGCTATTCAGGACTACATTCGCAGCAACAAGCTCCAGCCCGTCATCCGCGCGAACTACGTCCGAACTGCCTTTCAGAAGCCCGGAGATGATCGCATTCGTGTGTCGATCGATACCGACCTCGCCTTCATCCGCGAGGACACGCTTGACCGCGATAGGCCGTGCCGTGACCCGCAGAACTGGCACCGCACGGATATTGACAACAGCAACATGACCTACCCTTTCAAGAACATTAACCAGAGCGAGGTGTCTCGATTCCCCTATGCAGTGTTGGAAATCAAGCTGAAGGAGGACAACAACCGCAAGCGACCAGTCTGGGTCACGGACCTGATGGCCTCGCACTTGGTTCACCCTTGCCCTCGCTTTTCCAAGTTCATGCACGGCGTCGCCTCTCTCTTCGAGGACTACGTCAACAGGCTCCCCTTCTGGCTCCCCGATCTTGACACCGACATCCGCAAGGATCCTCAGGTGGCATTTGAGGAGGAGGAAGCGAAGCGTGCCCACCGTGCGCAGAATGAGCAAGTAGTTGGCAGCTTCCTCGGCACCAAACTAGGCAACTCGTTCAAGCCCTCCAGGAGTTCTCCCGTGGCCAAGTCCTACCTCGCCGAGCGTGTCGCGGCCGAAAGCAGCGGCCCCAAAGCGCAAACTCCCGCCTCTGGGATAACAGACAGGACCCATACCGACATTACTCCTGCCGGCGACGGGCTCAACGGAAGCAGCAGTAGCCAGCAACAGAATGGCCAACAGCAAGGCCACAGTGACTACGGCACCATGACCCTCTCCTCCGTCTTCCCTGGCTTCTCCCTCTCCAAGTACTCCAAAGCCATGCGTCTCAAGCGGGCCCAGCGTGAAGGCGGTGGACGCCGTGGCTCCGTGACCCTCCCACCTGGAGTCGAGGAGCCGACCGAGTGGATCAAGAACTCGGGTCCCTTGCAGATCGAGCCCAAGGTTTGGCTGGCCAACGAGCGCACGTTCCTTAGGTGGCAGCATATTTGTGTGCTGTTGGGAGGCTTGGCTATCAGCTTGTATACGGCTGCGGGCAGGGACACGGTGGCAGAGTGGATCGCTATCGGCTTTATCTTGACAGCTGCGTTTGCCGGTGGTTGGGGATACTTCTTGCTGCACTCGAGGAGACAAATGATTATTGCGAGGAGCGGCAAGGACTTTGATAACTTCCTTGGGCCGTTGGTGGTTAGTGTTGCGTTGATGGTGGCGCTGATTTTGAACTTTAGCTTTGCAGTAAGTCTTTCGGGGGGTTTGAGTATCAGAAAGGGATCTTAACAGTTGCTGACTTGTGTTTCTTTTAGTATCGCGACTTCTTGGCCAGAACTGAAAGGTCTGAGGCTCTGTTCATCCAAAGCAGCAGTTCCTCTGCGAGTCACGTTGACCTGAGATAGGAGGGGCTATAAAGTTTGAACGGGTGACGCGAGACTGGATATGAAACTCATGCTTGGTTAACGATGGGATAACGAGGGGATGACGATAGATTGGATACGGAAAACAGACTTGGTTATGACTGTATGAACCTGGGATATGGGCACATGGGCGGTGGTTTGGTAGAAAAATGCCTTGATGAGGGTAGTGTTGAAGTAGGCATACATACAATTACGCATTGACTTGGAAGCATGGAAATTGATAAACAGGATGTGTTGATTCAACAATACCAAGGGCTGTAGAAAGGGGCATCTCGTGCGCGCACGGACCACTGTTGCTCTGGTGAAGTCGAGAATGGACCGAAGTTCTCAACTCGAAAACAATTTCATGCAAACAACATCTAAATAGCACTTTCCAACGACCTCGCAAAGATTATCGTGGCCGTCTTCCTTGCACTTGAACGATTACCGTTTCGCAAGGCTCAACCACCCAACAGCCAGTGATCCAAGCTCACCACTCGCCTCGCTTTTACGAGGCCTTAAGCACCAAACCAACCGACTGAAGGAAGAAAGAATCACAACGGCGGGAATCTCATTGCAACAACCAACAAGTTCACCATCACCAACAACAAAATGTCAACACAAATACCCCTCCACCCTCGCCCACTTCCCTCATTAACACCGGCAACCAATCCCCTCCCAACCTTAATCCAAACACCCTCAGGCCTCGCCCTCCTCGAGCTCCAAGGAACCCTCAACATCCGCGACTTCGACCCATCCACAGCCTCCCCAGGAACCATCAGTCCAATCCCAGTAGGAAGGATCGATTTCCCCGACTACCAGCCCAACAGGCTTACCTTCGACCCGAATGACAAGAAGTGGATGAAGAGGGTTTATATGTATATCGGGGAACATCAGCGGTTACATGGGGAGGTGAAGGCACTACCCAAAGCGGTGGGGGTGGTGAGGAAGCGGCGGCACCTTGACGATGAAGAGAAGGAGGAGTTGGAGGTTGTGGAGATTATAAGGTACAAGCTTGTTTTTGCGTCGAGGCCGGAGCCGGTTACTAGGGGGGAACAGTTTGCTGGGAGGGAGTGAATGGGGGTTGAAGGGAGAGCTAGTTCGTAGGTTGCTTTGTAGGTTCAAATCTTCTTTGAAAGTGTCATATGAGCTTTTCTTCTTCTTCTTTCCCATCCCAAGTTTTAGCTCCATTCCTTTGGGCGTCGTGGTTCCTGACTAATGTTTGAAGGGTCCTCCATGAAAAAGCACGAGGGGTCACGAGGTCCCCTGGATTCTGAGTCTGGATCCAGTTTGTGATACAGTACCTTGATACCTTGATAGGTAAACGGACGAGAGCGGTGAAAAGATATGTACAAATGGTTGTGATTCGAGACCGATCGGTTCGCGGAGAAATGCGAAGGCGTTTACCGGTGTAGCTCAGCTTGGTTCTTCACCCACCTTTCCAGCTCGTCATCCGTGACCAAATTATAGAAGCTACGACGGCATGGGATGACTATCGGTCCCGGTCTCCGGCTCGGAACCTGAAGCCATGAGCTACCTCTATCGATCATTCACGTTTCACATGTTGAACGAACAAAAATAACATCCGGAGGTGGTGTCAATGACCATCATCAACTGGATTAACAAGAAAAGTCAAGATGGCGGGACCCCGCCAACCGGTGTCGTTCGGAGCTGTGGGATTGTCCACTGAGAGGTGGGGGATGCTGCAGCAGACGCCACAGCGGGCTCTGACTGGCTGATAGGGCGCGGAGTAAGTTGTGAGGCGAAGGAAAAGTGCAACAGTTGGTGGTGGTGTTCACGGGCACTTGCAGTGGGAATGCACAACTCCAACCTCGAAGTTTCCCCGAGAGCCCAGTTGATGGGAGGATCACCAAAAGCTTGGCCATGGATGTTATGGACAATAATGATGACGCCCGCGTGGCCCGCATTCCATTCCCACTCCAAATGCAGAATCCCCGGCCAAAAAGTCCATCTCGACCGCCGGAGACCTAGGTAGCGGACGGTAAGGTACATGTAAAGGTACTGATAGTGACAGAATACGCATTTCATCATTTGTATGGATCCCTGATTCTCCCCTTTTCCAATTCAACTCGCATCTCCACTTCGTCAATGGCGACGGCTTTGTCCACACTTGTTGCATATCCACCAAGGGTTCTAGACTGGCTCTATGAGTTGAGACGACTTAAAGCTATCATACATCGGCACAACCTGTCCTTCTCCGTCTCTTCGACTCGTCACAACTGTTTGCTTATTCTGCTTGCTTAGCTGTCACCTCTTCTTAGTGGCTCACATTCGACCTGTGAGACCTTGATCCCCCCCCCTTGACCGCCAACAAATCATCTAGTACCGAAGACTATAATAGGGCCACCACGCTCCTACCTTTCAGACCCCGTCTGCACTCTCTGTCCATCCTGTTGCCAACATAAAGAGCAGCCTAACGGATTTACAATAACTTGCGAGCCTGTGGTAATCACCCTCCTATCGTCGCTATCGACAGGGAAACAGTCACACAGCCTACTATGAAGTTTGGCAGAAAGTATACACCCCTCATCCTTGATCCTTTTTGCACTAAAAGCTGACGGTTCGACAGTCTCCCACGTAACCAGGTCCCGGAATGGGCGGCTTTCTACATCAACTACAAAGGCCTAAAGAAGTTGATCAAGGCTGCGCAAGAAGCGGCCAAGAATGGAGAGCCAGTAGATTTGGCAGAGTTCTTCTTTGCCTTGGACCGAAATCTTGAAGATGTCGACTCTTTCTACAACAAGAAGTATGCCGAAGCGTACCGGCGGCTTAAGGTGCTGCAGGACCGCTATGGCAGGACCCCCGAGATCGTCGCCAACCTCGATGATGATGAGGTCGAGGAGCTAATGGGAGCCCTTCTCGAGCTCCGAAGTCAGTTCCGGAAGCTGCAATGGTTCGGCGAAATCAACCGCCGTGGGTTTGTCAAAATCACAAAGAAGCTGGACAAGAAGGTTCCCAACACCACAAGCACCCAACACAACTACATTTCCACAAAGGTTGATCTATTACCGTTCGCCAAGGATACCGCCATCAGCCGCCTTTTGACCGAGATCAACAAGTGGCTGTCAAAGCTGGGAGATGCGCATAATATCGATGATGCCAAATCCGAGAGATCGACACTCTCTCTGGGCCGTGCTTCTGCAAAGGCTATGCTTAACGTACCGAGTGCGCTTCTCGACAGGTTGGATCAGGCCATTCGTAAAGACGGCGTCGTGGCTTTGGAAACTGGCTTGAAGGAAGGAAATCTAGCGAACGCTGACGGTTCGTCGCCATCACAACAGCCCTTGCTACTTAACCTACTCCAGCGATCGATTTCCAACCGTTCGAGAGACTGTATCGTCTTCCTTCTCAAGCAAGTCAAATCACTGGACGAGCCCGACGACATCAACGAGCGCAATTGCATTCACAGACTTGTCATTCACATTGGCCGCACAAAAACGGCCTCGCTCATCAGCAGTGAGCCCGAGGCCGAATCGTATCCCTTCCCTAGCACCGGGGTTCACTACGCGCAGCCCTACCTCACCCCAGCCACCTCGCCCTTATCAGCACCACGCGGAACGACCCTGAAGGAGTCGAAACTCCTCGGCCACGACGATGAGGCAATTCAGCTACTCAAGTACCTACTAGAAAACCTGAGGCCAGATCAGAGGGTGGCACTGATCGCCAAAGACGCATTTGGTCGCATACCGCTCCACTATGCCGCCCAGTTCGGCTTCGTCGTGGTTTGCCAGATCATCATGCGCAAGATGCAGGACTGGGGACAATTCAACGTCGAGAACGGCATCGACGCCCCCGAATGGCAGGACAAGGAGGGAAACGCGCCACTGCACCTGAGTGTCATCGGCGGTCACCCGCTGACTACCAAGGCGCTGCTGCAAGGAGAGAACTGGAAGGGGGTTAATGACCACCAAGCCGAAATGAGGCGTGCCATCTCCAAGTCGAGCGCGGTGTTGGCCCTCGCGACTAAGGCTAACTCCAAGGACATCGTCGACTTGCTGGTCAACGCCGGAGTGGATATCAACTGGCAGGATAACAACGGCGAGACGGCCTTGCATGTCGCTGCCAGGTTTGGCCACGACGAGTGCGCTAGGGTGTTGCTTAAGGGTACGAAGGAGCAGAAGGCCAATCTCGAGCTGGCTGAGAAGAACTTTGCGTGGACACCGCTGCACATTGCGGCTGTTGATGGTCATCTTGGTGTCGCCCAGCTGCTTGTGGATGCCGGTGCTGATGTGGACAAATTGGATTCGTCTGGTTGGACGGCAAAGGAGCATGCGGCATTGAGAGGCCATCTGGAGATTGCACGGCTCCTGTCTGGTCATATCCAGGCTCCTGAGGATGTGAGCGGTAGCAGCTCCGACGACGAAAAGTCATCGACCACCACGCCGTACCCTGAAACTGAGAACGCTCTGGCTGCGTCTCTGGGTGACCGACGCTCCAACGCAAATTCGCGTCCTGCTGAACCTGTCAAGACTTTCGGCCACAGGTACCTGAAGAACGAGAGCCTTGTGCTGGTCAGCCTGGGTTCGATGGATATGCGCAAGGGAATCGAGGCAATCAAGTTGGACAAAGTTCCTCTTGCTGAAGCTCACACGACACAGCTGGATACGGCTCTGTCGGTTGTTGTGTCTGCCCAAGGTGCGCTGGGCGACCCGACCATGATCGATCTGCCTGTTCACGAAAACATCTCGACCGAGCCTATCCTCTTCACCACTAGGGATGCCTCCAAGGTCAGACTCTTCTTCGATATCGTGCCGACATACTCGGGCAACGAGAAGAACAAGGTTGGCCGCGGCGTTGCTCTTCTTTCCAGTGTCCGTCCCACCGTCGGCACCAAGAGGATGAACCTGCAGGGCGACATCTCGGTGCCGATCATGGGTAGCAACTTTGAAGTTATCGGGACAGTTAACTTCAACTTCTTGGTCATCACCCCTTTCTCCCACCCCAAAATGGAAGTAACCTCCCAGCAGACGTATTGGAAGAAGCTGGACTCTACCATGGTTATTGGCCACCGCGGCCTCGGCAAGAACGTGGTAGCCAACAAGTCTCTCCAGCTCGGCGAAAACACGATCCCGTCGTTCATTGCCGCCGCTAACCTCGGCGCCCAATACGTCGAGTTTGACGTGCAGCTCACAAAGGACCACGTCCCCGTCATCTACCACGATTTCCTCGTCAGCGAGACGGGCTTCGACGCTCCCGTGCATACCCTCACCCTCGAACAGTTCCTGCATATCAACCCCGACTCCTCCCACACCCACCAGCACGGCCACCATGTTCCTCAGCAACAAGCTCAGCATAAGCAGCTGAAGAAGTTCCGCAGTAACAGCCCCGGCCCCCGCCAACGCTCCATGTCCATGGGCTTCCCCGGCGCCAGTAAAGACCTGATGGAAGAGCGGATGAAGCACACGCGCGACTTCAAGGAAAAGGGCTACAAGGGCAACTCACGGGGCAACTTCATCCAAGCGCCCTTCGCCACACTGGAGGACCTCTTTCGCAAGCTACCCGAGACCGTGGGCTTCAACATCGAGATGAAATATCCGATGCTGCACGAGAGCGAGGAGCACGAGATGGACACGTACGCGGTCGAGCTCAACTCGTTCTGCGACACGGTGCTGCAAAAGGTGTACGACATGGCCGGGCCAAGGAACATAATCTTTTCGAGCTTTAACCCGGATATTTGTTTGTGCCTGAGCTTCAAGCAGCCGAACATTCCGATTTTGTTCCTGACAGATGCGGGCACGTGCCCCGTGGGCGATATCAGGGCGAGCAGTCTGCAGGAGGCGATCCGGTTTGCGAGCAGGTGGAATCTGTTGGGGATTGTGAGCAACGCCGAGCCGCTGATTAACAGTCCGCGGTTGGTGAGAGTGGTGAAGCAGAGCGGACTGGTTTGTGTCAGTTATGGAGTGCAGAACAATGATCCCAGCTTGGTGCAGGTAGGTTATCTTTCCTTTTCTCTTCCTTTTTTTGTGCATTCCTATTCTCGGATTCAAGCTGATCGTCTGTGTTCTCTACCTACAGAAACAAGTCAAAGAGGGCATCGACGCCGTCATTGTCGACAGTGTCCTGGCTATTCGTAAGGGACTAACCAGGGACCGAGGCAACGTTACTAGCACCTCCACTTCAACCTCCAGCAATAGCAAGGAACTTCAGGAGAGGGTGAGGCAGGTGGAGGAGGCCATCCACAAAGAGGAGAACCGAATTGAAGAAGAGGGCTCATCTGCTGAGGGAAGCGCCAATGAGGATAGTAACGGCGCTACGAACGGTGCGGGACAGGCCACGAAGGAAATCGAGGAGACGTTGAGGGCTTTGAGGACATAGAGAGGGGATCTCGGGGATTTACTTAGGAATAGCGATGGTGGGAACATTTGTGAGGGGAGCGTTGGCTTAGTTGGTACATGATACACATTGGTGGCAGAGCAAGGAAGAGATAGATACCGACATGCTCAACGATGGTTTATTGCATTGCAGCGTTCGCGTCTAGCTGTTGGGTTGATACGCGACAGAAAAAATCAGTGGAAGAAAGAGGAGGGCCGAGGGCGGAGCTGAGGGTTGTTGTCGGGTAAGGTACATCCGATGGGGGCCTGCGAGTAAGTCATTAACAGAATTTGGTGATCATTCAAGGCAAATGTGTTAGCGGGCCGTCGCTACATCCCGTGGGCTGCCTCCGTCCCCGATGACAAAGACCACAATGAGTCTAGTACCTTGCGAGATGTAAAAGCACCCACGGCATCCACCAGCCGGTGGACAAAGTGGCTGAGACGACGTCATGTGTGAGATAGTACAGGACGTGGATTGCGTAACCTTGAAAATGATGGAACTGATCCTTGATCAGCTGTGCTCCATGCAAGTACTGCACCAAATATGGGCAGTCGAGGCAGTGTTGCTCTGGCTTTGGTGTGGTTGCGTGAGAAGAGAAGCGGGCTGTAAGCGGGCAGCTAGGCAGGCAGCGAGTTCCGTCGTGATGATTAACAGGACCCTGGATTGCTGAAGGTCCCGTCTTGGTTCCTGCCCCTCTATAATTCTTAAGATCGACCGTCCACCTGTGAATCCTACCTTCTTTTCCTACAACACTGAAATAGGCTTTGTTTGTCCGACATTGAGTTTTCTCTTCTTTGAATCCCTGAGCCTTGCCACAGAAGCTTTAGATAGTCATCAAGACACATTGTGAGTTGGACTCTCTTACAAAGAGGTACCGGGCCGACAATCGCACCTGTTAGAGCGCCACCTGAAGACCGCTGAAAGAGGAGCCCCGCACACCCTCGATTAGGTTCAATTCGCCAAACAGTTGGGCCGATCGATTCATACCCAGACGAGACTCGCTCGTTGCTCGGCTGACAGCAACTGTGACCATTACGTCCACCTGCACTCCAGTCCAATCGTCTGAGGCCATCGCGCGCCATTTCAGCCACTATTCATTCTTATCCTCCAGCCAAACCCTTCCTGTCTAGCTCTCTTTCTTCTCTTGATCCAATACGAACGTGACCGGAAACGTTTTATCGACCGACCGACGGCCCAGACAGCAAAAGTTTAACTGATTAAGACGCTCTCGGCTTTGGAACTCGACAATCTCACGATTCTTCCACTGAACACCTCGCGACTTGACTCGATCGAATCTCTTCTCCAAACACCCAACCACACACAAAAAAAAAAGCCCGCTCAACAAACCTACCTCAACCGACAACCCATACATACAAAAGTCAACCCGATGGCAGGCCCTGCGTCTCCCGGCAACGACGGCCCAACCTTTGCGCCTCCGCCGCTCCCAGCTGGTTGGATCGCGCAATGGGATAACGCCTCCAAGAAGTACTACTACGTCCAGCTCTCCACCGGTGTTTCGCAATGGGAGACTCCCACAGATCCAGCTCCCGTTGGCGCCACTCCCGGTGCCGCCCATGAACACCCCTACGGCGTACCCGGTAGCGACGGCGATAGGAAACTGGAGATCATCACCTACCCAGACGGCAGCCAGAGCGCCAAGTACCCCGATGGGCGAGTAGAGCCGGTTGCTCCTCGGGAGGACGGTACGAGGGGAATTGGAGGCCCCGATCAGGATAGAAGTCTGGGTGTATGTTCTTTCTACCCTCTTTGTCTCTCTCCTGAATGTTGATGAAATGCGCGTGACTAACAGTCTGTCTTCTTTTAACCGTAGTCCTTCATCGGAAACACTCTCATCAGCAACCTCGCCGGCGGAAACAAGCAGTCTCACGGCGGCAGCAGCAGCAGCGGCGGCGGTGGTGCGGGTGGCTTGGTTGGTTCCCTGCTTCAGGGCGCCATGGGCGGTGGTAGCTCTGGCGGCCACGGAAATAGCAACAGCAGCGGTGGAGGTCTTGGTGGCAAGATCGCATCCCAGCTTGTCTCGGGCATGTTCTCCGGCGGAAGCCACAAGCCTTCCTCGTCATCTTCGTCCTCGCAGCAACATAACACTCACGGCAACCAGTCATCTTCGCATAGCTCTTCGGGCAGTCATGGCGGTGGTCTCGCTGGCGTTATGGGCGGCATCGGCAATCTGTTCGGAAACAAGCCCAACTCCGTAAGTAGAAACGCCGGTCCATGATGTAACATGATGTAGCAAAGTCTAACCAGAAAACTCCTGATCAGAGCTCCGGCTTCGGCTACTCCAACTCGGGACAAAGCGGTTCCTACAGCGGCCAGACACCTCCCGCAACTTACCAGCAAGCCACCTCCGGAGGCAGCTCTTCCTCGACCTACCAGACCGCCGGACCTACATCATCGCACCAGTCGCACCAATCGCACAGCGGCAGCAACACCCCTTCCTACGGTGCACCATCTGGCCAACACGCTCCCTACGGTCAACACCAGCATGGCCAGCAGCCTTCCTACGGTAGCACCCCCTCTTACACCTCGCCACCGACCGGCCAGCAGCCTCAGTACGCTCCTCCCCCAGCCGGAGGACCTCCCGGGCAATATGGACAGCCTCCGCAGGGGTATAACCAGGCGCCCCAGTATGGCCAGCCACAAGGAGGATTCCATCAGCAGACTCCCTCGTACGGACAACCGCCGCAGGGAGGAGCTCCCTACGGCCAGCAGCAGCCTCAGTATGGCGGACAACAGCAGCAGTACCCGCCGCCGCCGCCTAATTCGTATGGTCAGCCGCCTAGTGGTCAGTATGGTCAACAGCCGCAGTACGGCGCGCCGCCGCAGGGAGGTTATCGGTACTAGGAAGGCCGGCTTTGATGTCAGGTTGCGCACAACGCCAAATATGAACAAAATACGGAGGTTTCAGTTGATCAAGATACCAAGAACGTAGATGGATGACGCAAGCTGGGTAACAAAGGAAGCCTTTTATACTACATCATCGTTTTGAGCGAAGGATATGAAAGTGGAACACAATGGGTTAGGTATCTGGAACACAAGCCTGAAGCTAAAGCAGAGCGCGGTGTCAGTACGCCAGATACTCCGTGCGAGATCAAAAGCCGCGGCAGTAAAGGTAGTGGGAGGGTCGACTGACGACGAAACAAAGACAGTGAAGACTATAACTTGCACACGATTGTCCTTTCAGTTGTACTCCTGCATTGCATACGCTGGATGATGGACTGAGTCATAGAGCCAAGTGACTCAAGGAAACAGAGAAACAGTGATGTTGAAGATGTAGGCGGATCGTTGTCGGCGGTGTTGCTTAGCACCAAGGCTTATTGACCGTATTTGTACGTTCGGATTGTGAGGCGCGTATGATTTTTTTTTCTTTTGAGTCCTTATTGTTCTAACATGGTACTATCAAACTGGGGGTTACAGCGTGCTTGCCCGTACACCGGTTGAAGGGGAGAAGAAGGGTTTCGGCATATATGTGTACACGTCAACCCAAGCTTAGGTTTTCATCAGTCGCCATCTGGGCAAACGCGAAGGTATGCGAACGGCAAAGGGGTGGAGTGAGGGAGCAGACATAGACAGTGGCCAAGATATGAAAAGGGGCGATGGGAACGGCAGCAATCCCGTTCCTATTATCGTGTGGAAATGGCTTTTCCCATAACAAATATGCTTCCACAAGCACACGACGAATATCTCAAGAACGTTATATCTATTATCTCTTATCATATACCCATCCTTAACAACCCTCTTAGCTTATTCGATGTTCGTCCTATCTCACCTCACCTTCTTACTCTCTGTCTCTTCCACACCCTCACCCGCCTCCTCGGTCAACACGACCTCTCCAACCAAGAAGGACACCACCCTCTTCGAAACTATCCACCCAGCCACGGCAACGACAACGATCCACCCGATCGTCGGCACCAACGACCGAGGAAGCACGTTAAAGAGAAAGGGATCAAGGATGATGTCCACGTCTACCGGCGGTGGGTGCAGCATGACACTCGTGTTGGAGGTGAAGTAATCTGCTGCGGCGGAGATGTGGAGGAGGAGTGATGATGATGATTCTGAATCCTTTAATCTCGCGGCATGCTTTTGTCTCTGCGCCTGTTGCGGCGAAACTGCCGGGTAGTATTCCATCAAGGAACCGGCGAGGCGAGGAATGATGAGGACTTCTTTGGGGGTATATGTTTTCATGTAAAAGTTTGTTGGTTGCTTTTTTGGGTGAGGGAGTGTATCAGTAAGTAAGTGGTTCTTCTTTCGTGAGAAAGGAAGGGGGAACAGAGACAGGGAAAGGAAAGAAAGAAAGATATGTACCGTAGCAGCCCAACAAACCCTAACTTCATATCTTTGCCCCTCCGTCAACCCCTCTAGGAGAAACCACGCATCTTGTCCGCGAGGGTACTCAGCAGATGGAAATACGCGGTTTATTTTCGTCCTGAGTGAAGACCGGTCATCAGTCGGGTCTGGCGTGAGGGTGTGGATTTGATGCAGTTTGGTGTCTAGCCATCGCTGTGCCTGCTGGTTGCTGGCATCTTTTATGATGAGATTTTCTTCTGATGGAGTGGAGGAGGGGCCGAGGAAGATGGTCTTTTCTACATTGGCGAGGACGATAGAGCTGAAAAGGGATATGAGGAGGAGATGAAGGAGTTGTGTTGAGGTTGGGAGGAAACGAGGCATGGTCGGGTCGGGTGTTTGTTTACTTGGGGGAGGGTTGTCTACCTATTGCCCCCTGAAAGCGTACTGGAGGATTGATGCTGCAACGCAAATGGAAACAAAATGGACGTACATGTCCCTCCAAGCAAAATAGATGAGACGCTTTGTGGCTAATTCTGGGTGAGCCGTGGCCTAAGGTCGTCTCACAAAATTTGTCACGGATGAGCCAAGGTCTCCCCAGATTAACCCCACAGAACGGCTGGGTAAATTTACCCCGGAATAGGTGGAATCCCACCTTCTGTAACTGTGTGGGTCAGTGACATGCTTGACACGCCTGACGGATGCTCTTCCTGAACAGGAACGATCACATGCTTCTTTCTTTCCCTCGCTTTATTACTTGATTACGGTACCACCAGCACATTTCGAGCCGATCCCGACGGTCCAACGAACAACTGCCCATTCCAGCCAAAGTGCGTGACGCAAGGCCGAGGGTTTCCCTTTTCCTACCTACTCTCACGACAACATCCGAAACTCTGTGAAGATTACCATGTCCATGTCGACAGGTTGAATGAAGTGCGCCATCACAACCTCGACCATTGTTGTTGTCTGTTATTCGAATTAGACCACCATCGCGGCCGTCGGCTTCCACCATTTACTAAACGAAAAGCGTATTGCGAAAAACCACCAACAAGAGCGACGCTGGTCTGTCGCATGTTGGCTGCGCCTGTGACCGAAACTTTCAGTTTGATTCCGAGTGCCGAGCTTCGACCTAGCACATCGTCAACCTTCGATCCCAACTCCATGACCGCTGAGACGACAAGTGGACTATAGTAAAGCGAAAAGATACCCATAGCGTCACCACCATCCATAATGGCGCCCTCACTCTCCAAACCCGTCTTCCCGACGTTCAGGGACCGTACCGTCAAAGGAATCATCACTCAGCTGATGTCCATGTACCTCGACAACCGCACCCGCATCTCGCGCGCCGTCTACATCACGCTTTTCGTCGCCCTCGTCAACCGCGTCCGCCACGCCATCGCTGAGCAAAAGGCCGCCTCAGTCCGCGACGCCGCAAAGCGCGCCGAGCGCCAGGGCACCACGGCCTCGGTGAACTCGGACGATGCCGCGGGCGGCAAGAAGAAGGTGGAGCTGAACCGCGAGTTCTTCCGCTCGCTGCTGCGGTTGCTCAAGATTGTCGTGCCCGGCTGGCGCAGCAAGGAGACGAGGCTGTTGATCAGCCACAGTTTCTTCTTGGTGTTGAGGACGCTGATTTCGCTCAAGGTGGCGGCTATGGATGGTGCGATTGTCAAGGCCTTGGTCAAGGGCAATGGAAGGGAGTTTATCACGAGGATTGTGTATTGGATGTTGATTGCGGTGCCGGCTACGTTTACGAATTCCATGGTAAGTGCCCGGCTGTCTCTACTTGGTATATGTTACGGGATGCTAATGATTGAAATTACATGGCAGCTCTCATATCACCAAGCCGAATTGTCGTTAAAGTACAGGACGAGATTGACACAGTATATCCACGACAAGTACCTTTCGCAGCTAACCTTCTATGGTATTTCTGCGCTAGACGACAGGATCAAGAACCCCGACCAGCTTATTGCGGTTGATGTGGCCAAGTTCTCCAACAGCTTGGCTGAGTTGTACAGTAACTTGGCCAAGCCGATCCTTGATATGGTGCGCAACCCCCCCTCTCTGGCTGCTCTCACTGGGAAACCCTTGGCTAACATATAATACCTAGACAATCTACACTTTCTCGCTATCAAAGAGCGTCGGTGGAGAGGGTGTCGTATTCATGTCCCTCCTGGTCCAACTCTCAGCAAACGTCATGCGAGCGCTAACACCGCCCTTCGGCAAATACGTCGCTGAAGAAGCGAGACTAGAGGGCGAGTTCCGCTTCCAGCATTCCAGACTAATAGACCACAGCGAAGAGGTTGCCCTATACGCCGGTCACGAAGCCGAGAAGGACACACTAGACAAGGGCTATTTCACCTTGATTAAGCACGTCAACTACATCTTACGCCGGCGCTTCTACCACAGCTTCATGGAGGATTTCGTCATCAAGTACTTCTGGGGTGCGCTGGGCTTGATGCTCTGCAGTGTTCCCGTTTTCGTCAAGCTGCCGGGCCAGCTCACGATGAACATGGGTGATCGTACCGAGACGTTCGTGACGAACCGCAGAATGCTCCTGTCGGCTTCGGACGCTTTTGGCCGTATCATGTTCTCGTACAGGGAGATCATGGAGCTGGCTGGCTACACGTCCCGGGTGTCGTCACTGCTGGAGGTTATGGATGACATTCAGAACGGACACTTTGAGAAGAAGCTGGTGTCTAGTTCGGGTACTGAGGATAATGAGGCTGTGCTCAAGGGCAGAGGTAAAGTGGTGGAAAGCAGGGATATCGAGTTCATTGATGTGTATGTTCCACTTCCCCCTTTCAAGTCATTGGCAATCGCGATACTAATCCTTCAATACAAAACAGCCCCATCATCTCCCCCAACGGCGACGTCCTAGTCAAGGCCCTCTCCTTCAAGCTCCGCGCTGGCGACCACCTCCTCGTCGTCGGTCCCAACGGCTGCGGCAAGTCCTCCCTCTTCCGCATCCTCGGCGGTCTCTGGCCCGTCTACGGCGGCACCGTCCACAAGCCCCCCTTTTCCGACATCTTCTACATTCCGCAGCGGCCCTATCTCTCCAGGGGGTCCCTGCGCCAGCAGATCATTTACCCGGATGGCCTGCGCACCATGCGCGCCAAGGGCGTCACCGATGCCGACCTGCTCGCCATCCTCAAAGTCCTCAACCTCGAGCACCTGCTCGAGCTCTACCCGGAGGGCTGGGACGCCGAGGCCGAGTGGCGCGACGTCTTGTCCGGTGGCCTCCAGCAGCGCGTCGCTATGGCTAGGCTGTTCTACCACAAGCCGCGCTATGCTATCCTGGACGAGTGCACGAGCAGCGTGACGCTTGATACGGAGAAGGTCATGTATGATAATGCCAAGGCATTGGGGATCACGCTCATGACGGTATCGCATCGTCGTAGTTTGTGGAAGTATCACACCCATATCTTGCAGTTTGATGGACAGGGGAAGTACGTGTTTACGAAGCTGGATGCGGAGAGGAGACTGGAGCTGGAGGACGAGAAGGAGGATTTGGATGTGTTGTTGAGGCAGGTGCCGGAGTTGGAGAGGAGGATTGCCGAGTTGACTGCTGAGTGAGAGACGCCGTGGGTTGGATTGGCTTTGATGATTATGTGTGGATGAATGAGATGAGGTGTTTGTTTTGGTCGGGTTTTGGATATATAGGTATCACGGAAAGGAGAGGAAGAAGGGTGTAACTGGACCTTCGGAAAAGCCCAAAAGAACTACAATATATCCTGGGCCGCTTTATTAACTTTCTTTCTTGGATAGCAGCTTATATGGATGTAAGAGAGATAATCACGGACAGAGCATGTTACCGTATATACAAGGCGCTTTTAGTTGCAGTATATGGCGTTGTCCCGTTGATATCTCATCAAGTCACACACTCACAAGAGTGACAAAGAATTCATCCACCGACATATTCTTGACTATAAATCATTAATCATTCAACAATAGCCCAAAATCATGGGTCGTTACCAGCTTCCATGGCTTAACGCCTGTCGTTCGCATCAAACTTCTGAGTCCAGAACTGCCTATAATGCTTCTCCTTACCCGCGGCCGCGATATCCTCCACCTCCTTGGGCGTCAACTTGAAGCTAGGCAGCTTCTTCAGATATCCCTTCAGCCTCTCCTCATTGCTACTCGTCGTAAGCGTCACGATGCCCTGATCCAGACACCACCTCAGCGCAACCTCGGCCTCACTGACACCGTACTTCTTAGCCAGCTTCGTGTAGATCGGATCCACGGGTCCGGGGCTAGCCTTGGTGATAGCCGTCAGCGGCGAATAAGCTTCAATAGCGATATGCTTCTCCCGGCAGTAGGCGATCAGATCCTGACCACCCTCAACCACGTGCTGAAGGTAAGGGTGATACTCGATCTGGTTCACGACCGGCGGGTACTGCAACCCGCCCGGGATGTCGAACAGCGTCTGCAGATGCTCGATCAGGAAATTGGAAACGCCAATCGACTTGGCCATACCGCTGTCCTTAATCTTCTCCATCTCGCGCCAGGCCTGGTGCAGCTCCTCGGCGTTCTTGGCGAAAAAGGGTGAGTGCAGCAGGTACAGGTCGACGTAGTCGAGCCCGAGCTTCTCGAGCGAGCGGTTGAAGGCCTGCGTGACGGTCTCGCCGGCGCGCACGGTGGTCTTGGTGGTGATGAAGAGCTGGGAGCGGGGGAGCTTGGATTGCTTGATGGCGCGGCCGAGCTCGGTCTCGTTGCCGTAGGCTTCGGCGCCGTCGAGGTGCGTGTAGCCCGCGCTCAAGGCGGTCACGGTGGCGGCGATGATGGGCTCGGAAATGGTGTCGAGGGCGGCGCCGGATTTGTAGTTGGCTGTGCCCAGGCCGTAGCCAAGCTGTTTTCATGTGGTTAGTATCGGAAGCGGATCGTTGTGTTTTTGGTTCTAGTTTTGGTTCTGATTTGGCTGAGTGGAAGAATGGATGAGGGGACGAACCATGGGGATCTCATTGCCGTCGGCGAGCTTGAGAGATGGGATGATGCCGTGGAGTTGCTTGGGTGAGACGCCGCTCGCGTCTACCTCGAAGTTGGAGGTGGCAGAGTTCATTTTGGATGCGGTGATAGTGTGCTGGTTGGTGTTAGGTGAATAGGAGAGCTATTCTGATGCGGCCGAGGGTGACCGTATATATGTATGTATATGAGGGAGGGTAAAAGCAAAGAGCAATGGTGCGAAATGTGACCTTGTTGTCGTTCTGTTGTACACAGCTCTAGTGTTGTTATTCCCACTGTCGCAGTGATAAGACAGAGGATACTATTCTAGCTTAGATGGTAAGGGTTAGACCCACTGCGGTCTTCGAACTTTACTTGTCTTCATCTCGTAGTGAACTAAACTTGACAAGCTGAACTGAAGGATTTTTTTAGGAGGCTGTTACACTTGTAGTGTAAGCTCTGAATAGCTTCAGCTTCTCAATGGTGTTGTCAGTGTCACTCGAACCGTTCTCAAGTCAGATTCAGGGGCGGAAAGTAAACATGAGTTGAGGAGGTACATACCAGTACACAGCTCCACCCCGCACTAACAATTACGGATGCGGGGCACAATTGGTCACGCTATGACGCCATACCAGAGCGCCGGAAAGAACGCTTCTTCGTTGGGGGCGAGATGAACGAGGCCGAAAGCTAAGAACTTGTGATCAATGGGAATGATTCAACCATAGGTTTCAAAATTCAAAGAGCTTAGGAAAATACAAACAACGGAATAGTACAAGGGGCGAAGGTGAAGTGTTTAAACTAATCCAATCTGATCCTTTTACAGTGTACACTAGGTGAAGTCTTGGCAAATGTCGATTGCGTACAAGTAAGCATTCAGGAACGTTAAAGGCGAACACTGGAGAGTTCTTTCTTCGCCAAACAGATGACGAGTCGAACAGTTTCCGCCACCCGGAGCTTTTACTCATCTCATGTCCATGCCGTCAGGAACAGCATTCAGATACAGACAATAGGGTATCCGCGGAACGTCAATGGGCAAATAGAATTCCATATGGAATCATTGACTTTCCAGTCCCTACCATGACCTAGCACCCCTATGGTAGGGAAGACAGTGACTGACTAATCCCACTGGGCTGAACTCCAAACTTTGGACAACGAAGAAAAGATACAGCATTGCCACTGCAGCCACCTATTTGTCAACCTCATATATATATATATATAGAGTCGAGTGCCCAGAACAGCCTACTTCTTACCCCAACTATCTCACAAAACTCTACGAATCTGCCTCGCCCTTGATGCGCTCACTGAAACCCGCAGCCCGCTGTCTTGCCGTTGCTCAACATCTGAAAAGCATCTCATACGCAAACCAACCTTTCTCGGCCTTCTTCAGCACCACCCACAACATCATGGCCTTGAACGGCACCACTACCGAGAACGGGACACATTTTGAAGGCACAACACGTATCGGCCCTCCCCAAATCATGGCACTTCACTGCCTCTCTCCCACCAGATGCCGCCTTCCCTACACCAGCAGACAGCCACAAGGCTGATCGCGATGACCTCGGCCCTCGCCAGGTGAAGAACGCCATTTTCACATGGGTCCGTCCCGAGAAGCAACGAGACCCGGAGCTTCTCGCCGTCTCACCAGCTGCCATGTGCGATCTCGGTCTCGCGTTATCCGAAGCAGACACAGAAGAGTTCCGCGAGGTAGCAGCAGGCAACAAGATTATCGGCTGGGACGAGGAGACGCTCTCCGGCTCCGGTTACCCCTGGGCTCAGTGTTACGGAGGCTTCCAGTTCGGTCAGTGGGCAGGCCAACTCGGTGACGGACGCGCCATTTCCTTGTTCGAAGGAACCAACCCATCCACAGGTGTTCGGTATGAAGTTCAGCTCAAGGGCGCCGGCATGACGCCCTACAGCCGCTTTGCGGACGGCAAGGCCGTTCTCCGCTCCAGCATCCGCGAGTTTGTCGTCAGTGAGAACCTCAACGCCCTCGGGATTCCCAGCACTCGTGCCCTAGCCATCACTCTGCTCCCACACTCGCGCGTGCGCCGTGAGACCATGGAGCCCGGCGCCATCGTCGTGCGCATGGCCCAGAGCTGGCTGCGCTTCGGCAACTTCGACATTCTCCGCGCCCGCGGCGACCGCAAGCTCGTCCGGCAACTAGCCACCTACATTGGCGAGGATGTCTTCGGCGGGTGGGACAAGCTTCCCGGCCGCTTGGCGGATCCCGAAGGTGCAGCCGGCGACGAACCCTCTAGGGGAATTGCCAAAGAAACCGTCGAAGGACCCCCCGGAGCCGAGGAAAACCGGTTCCACCGTCTCTACCGCGAAATCATCCGGCGCAACGCCTTAACCGTCGCCAAGTGGCAGATGTACGGCTTCATGAACGGCGTGCTCAACACTGACAACACCTCCATCTTCGGCTTGTCCATCGACTTCGGCCCCTTCGCCTTCATGGACAACTTCGACCCCAACTACACGCCCAACCACGACGACTTCGCCCTGCGCTACAGCTACCGCAACCAAGCGACCATCATCTGGTGGAACCTAGTCCGACTAGGCGAGGCCCTGGGCGAGCTGATCGGCGCCGGTCCCCAAGTCGACGATGAATTATTTGTGACCAACGGGCTTAACTTTGACGACGAGGAGGCTTCCAAACCCATCGAGGAGCGCGCCCACAAGCTCATCACCCTGGCGGGCGAGGAGTTCAAGGCCGTGTTCATGGGCGAGTTCAAGCGTCTCTTCACTGCCCGCTTGGGCCTCAAGACCTACAAGGAATCCGACTTTGACTCCCTGTTTGACTCCCTCCTCAACACCATGGAAGCCCTCGAGCTCGATTTCAACATTTTCTTCCGCCGCCTCTCCACTCTGAAGACGGCGGACCTACAAACCGAAGAAGCCCGCCAAAAGGCGGCCGACGTCTTCTTCTCCAAGGTCGAAGGCGTCCCCGGGCCAGGAACCGACGAGGAAAAGGCGCGCAAGCGCGTGGGCGAGTGGTTGGATAAGTGGCGGGTGCGAATTGAGGAGGATTGGTCTTCTGAGGGTCAAGGTGCTGACTTGGAGGAGCGGGTTGCTGCGATGAAGAAGGTCAACCCTAGCTTTATCCCGCGCGGATGGATTCTGGACGAGGTGATCCGTCGCGTGGAGAAGGAAGGGGAAAGGGATGTGCTCAAGAGGGTGTTGCATATGGCTACGCATCCGTTTGAGGACGCGTGGACTGGTAAGGAGTTTGAGGATGGGCCGACTGGAAGGGGTGTTTATCAGGGTGATAAGGCGGAGGAGGAGAGGTGGACGGGAGATGTGCCGCAGCAGAAGAAGGCTATGCAGTGCAGCTGTAGCTCGTAAGTGACCGGGTCAGTTTGGTAGTGAGAGATATCCCTTTCTGTAATCGTTATTGTAGTATTATTAGCGAGGCCTTTTATCGATGACAAGTCGAAAACTTGCACTTCTTTACGGTGACTTTCGGGGTGCAGGCACGAGTTGGTCATGTGAAAATGTGGAAAGTGAAGCCCGAAGACTACAAAAATAAATTTGAGAGCACACATAACTTCTCGGAGTATACCCAAGTTCTTCAAGTTCATGTCGCACCCTGAATCATGCCGAATATCGGTATGATAGTATTATTGAAGAAGCTCAAGGGGATCAATTAGGTAAAGTTAAGGTCTATCAAGGTCGTGGCGAGGTTTTTTCACTTAGTCCCAAGGTGCCGAAGGGGATATCGTCAGGTTCATGAACGCCGTATCCTCTAAGCCTGCCTAAGAAGGTCGTCAAGTTGGCATATCCGCCCCGTGCCTTCTATGTCGAACTTTGAATCAGCAAGAAACAATTCAAGCCAGAACAGCAATGCTTCAGCAAGGTATGAAACCGGAAGTCGAGAAATACAAGAGTATCGACAGCAAGGGGGGACTTAATTCAATCAATCCGAATCCTGCGTCCACCCTGAGCCACCGGCCCAAGCTCTCCTAGCCTCGACATCACAACACTTGGCTCTCGTTCCGTTGACGCCATGCTGGCTAACGCAAAAGAATCGGTGTTGTGAGCAAAGTAAAAGTAGTATCCAGTCCGATCTTTCTTGACAGTCATGACTCCAATTGCACCCGCTGACGGTTGGTTCTTGACGCCCGGATGGCCCATGAAATCGTCCAGAATAAAAGCCTCTAGCAGCGCATGCTCATCTAGCTCCGATATGCTGTGTCCTCCAACGCCACGTCGACTGCTCTCGAACAGCCGCTCTGCACATTTTGCTGAGGCGATCGAGGTCGCCATGTGCTCCCCTGTTCCACTTGTGACGGCGGCTACCGACGTGCCCGTGTGGTCGTCGGGATCCTCAGGGATCACAGCCGTTCCGATCCCGACGAGGGCAGCAGGACCGATGCGACCGCGGTGCTTTATGCCGATGCCGCCGGAAGAGGAGCCCGCGGCGATTTTCCCCTTGAAGTCAATGGCAATTGCGCCGACGGTGTCGGTTATCAGATCATCATCCAACTCTTGTACCGGTACACTCGAAAGTAGCGGGCCACTGATCTGGCCGGTCGCAAACAACTGTTCCCCCAATGCCATTTCCATAGCTTCAGGTTTCCGACTATGTTCCTCTTCCTTCCCGCTCACAAACCCATCGTGAGTCGACAGTGGCGGAGATCTCCTCGGGTTGTTCGCAGTAGCCGCGAAATAGCTAATATCTTCACTGTGGCTGTGACGTACTACTGTCCTCTTGGTAGTGGCTGGACTACCAGTAGTGACGCGTGAGTGAAAAGCAGATGACACATGGTTCATGGCAGCTCGATCAACTGGGTTGTTTGGGTTGGTAAGACTTCTCTGGGGCGGACGGGGTGTTGTTAAAGGGACACTTCCAAGTCCTCCATTTTCACCCTGTAAAGGGGACCCTCTACCATAAGGCGAGTCGGGCTGGCCCTCGTTCCATATCCCAGTCAAAATCGCACTTGAGTGGTCCCGGCGTAAAGTGGAAGCGTTTAACGTGTCTGCCGCTTTTTCGTAGTCACTCGGTGTCGGCGACGGGCGATGCGTCTCTAGATTTTTGCCGGAAAACTGTGAGATGTGAGAGGAGCTACTACTTGCGGTGGTCTGTCTCGCCTCCGCTTTTTTCAGGTCTTCTTTCCAGCGGAGAAACCGATCCTTTGCGTTTTTCGAAATCAGATATTCGTTCGGTACGATGGGCATTCCGTGTTCTTCGGCAAAGTCCCTAGCTCCTAGGCCCACGAGAATATTTGGCGGTACTCTGCGGAGGGAAAGAGGCTGGCTACTTTTGTCAAGGATCAATTTGGCAAGCGATATAGGGTTTTTGATACCTACAAGTGTTAACGGGAGTTAGCGTTTGGTCTCTAGCCGCTCATATGTGGAATCGTCAGTTGGGACGTACCGGGAACAGCGCCACAAGCACCACTCCTTCCCAGATGGTCGACCACAGTTGCGTCGCATTCGACAACCCCATCCATGTTGAGATTACTTCCGAAGCCAGCATTCGTAATTTCTTTGTCCTCCAAACACTTGATGGCAGCTTCGACGGCCTCGGGAGCAGAAGCACCGGCTTTCAAAAACCTCATTGCAACACGGGAGGCTCTGGTTTCAACCACATCAGCAATTTGCCATCTGATGACTCTTGACTCAACTTACTCGCTGCATGCCTCCAAGTGAACCTTTTCATTCGCAACGCTATGGTACCCTGCACCTGCATGGACGAAGATTGCCGCAACTGGTTTCGTGGTACGCTTCCATATCCTTTCGACACTGCCATCCAACCCATGTTCGTGATCGTCAGGCCAGTCCGAGTCGGAGGAACTGGCCGACATGCCGATATCCGATTCTGGTGACATCTGGTCCGAGCCGGCATTTTGATTGTTCATTGCGGTTGCAGTTGCGATATGGTGACTCGAGGAGATCGTCGAAGTAGCAACGCGTCTGGCGACGTTGAGTTGTTAGTGACGGAGCACTTGTCTTCCAAGTAACCCTCTACGTTAAGGACATGAAGAGTCCTCGGTTTTTGGTGTGTTATTGGTGGCTCCTGGACAAAGATGGGCGAAGATACTGATCGATTCCGTGGGAGAGGAGTCGGAGAAGACAGGATTTGACGGCAAGGCCTTGAGAAGATGGCTATTTTTATGCGTGTAGTACGAGATCTCGGATGTTGATCTCTTGTCGGGAAGGAAGAATTTAGTAGGTCAGGAAGAATTTAGTAGGTTAACTCGGTTGGCGATGCCCAAAGCAGTGCTAGAATTGGGTGGATGGGGTGAAAGCGGCGTTCGGCGTTGGTTCGAACCCCTTGTGAGAGCAACCCGATGAAACAATGATTGCAAATAATGCTCGGTAAAAATGATGTCTTGAGTGGAATCTGATATTAGAGCGGTCCCCGTGAACTGGGATGATACGCTCAGGCTGGCCGGGGGATGGAGAGACCCTTTGGGTGCAGTTAGGTGGGCGGAATGAAGATGTATGAAGGTTAAGATGCAAAGTGCAGAAGACACGAGAAACAAGAGAGGACGGAGTGTGGACACGGGACAGGTTGATGGACGTGAAAACTGAGAAGCCGTGAGTGTAGGTTCTCCGCAAAGTGGACTTGCTTCGAGATGAGGTTGAGATGGATTTCACAGAAAGGGCAGGTGTGAACCTGAATGGGGGTGATTTCGAATCAGTATCTCCTTCCTTTTCGGCGAGCGATGTTCTGTCCGGTCGGCGTTTTCGTTAAAGCTAGATCCCGACCGGTCCCATTTTTCCCAGCCATCACCGTCCGGGCCCGGGGATGCCTGCCGTGTTCTTTCGAGCTTCGGTGCCTGGAATCGGGGCATCGGTTTCGGGGGATTCGGATGGCGCTCAGCCTAGACATGGTGTCCGGGAACCTCAGCTCATGATAATCGAGCGAGAGTGATGAAGACTAACACACGCAATCTCAAACGTGTTGCTAACCGTCACCGACAGAGATGAGCCAGACAGCCAGTGTTGTATAGAGGGAAGTTTGGCAGTTGTTTGTGGTTCAGGTTCCGTCATTTCCAGTTATGGCGTCGTTGGGAATGCACGACTGACAAACTAGACCGCCGTACCTTACTGGGACTCGGGATCTTGGCGCACAGCCGCGCAGGTACCTCCACAGTACCTCGCAGCGCTGTCAGCCAGCCGTAAGGAGAGCTAGCTCAGCCAGGCACGTAATCTTGGACATCAACCTCCATTTCCCGCCTGGCCTATCCACTATCCACGCTCCCGCCCCGTCACTTCATCCATCACCAACTAACAAGTTGTCCGTCGTTGCTTTGCGCCCTCACCAAACCGCAATCATCACGAGCTGCGCGTAGCAGCAAACCACCGCAACAATGGCCAACACAACCCCCGCCGTTGTCATGGACAAGTACGTGCTTCCAAGTTGTCCCGTCTCCACCCCGCCCGCTCCTTAAACAACAGCTCCCGGGGCCGCCATCGCTAACATCCCCTAACCAGCGGCACGGGGTTCTCCAAGCTAGGTTCGCGACTCCCGGCATCCCGAGATTGCCAATGACCATCGATTGACCAAGCTCTCCGTACCCAGGTTTCGCCGGCAATGATTCCCCCTCGTTCGTATTCCCGACAGCCATCGCGACCAAGAGCCCCTCGGCAGGCACCGGCGGCTCGGGCTCTGGCCGCCCCGCCGTAGCCAACAAGCCATCCTTCCTCACCGGCGGCGCCGGTCCCGGTGGCCATCTCTCAGCAAAGCGCGGAACCGAAGACCTCGACTTCTTCATCGGCGACGAGGCCGTAGCGGCCGCTAATGGGCCTGGTACGTTGGTCTACACCGCCTAAATGGAAATCGGTGCTGACGGTGTTAGGCTACGGGTTGCACTATCCCATCAGACACGGACAGATTGAGAACTGGGTGCGTTCAGGTCGCTAGATGGCATGTCATGGATGTCCAGAGCTAACTGGAGCTTAGGATCACATGGAAAGGTTCTGGTCCAACTCCATCTTCAAGTATCTGAGGGTAGAGCCTGAGGACCACCACTTCCTCCTCACTGAGCCGGTGAGGCCATCTTTCTTTCCCGAACCACGTGGTAAATTTACGGTACTAACCCGTCGATGCAGCCTCTCAACCCTCCCGAGAACCGTGAAAACACCGCCGAGATCTTCTTCGAGTCCTTCAACTGCGCCGGTCTCTACATTGCCGTCCAGGCCGTTCTGGCCCTTGCGGCTTCCTGGACATCATCCAAGGTCCAAGACAGATCCCTGACCGGTACTGTCATTGACTCTGGTGATGGTGTGACACACGTTATCCCGGTCGCCGAAGGCTACGTTATCGGCTCGTCCATCAAGTCGATCCCTATTGCCGGTCGCGACATCACCTACTTTGTCCAGTCACTTCTCCGTGACCGCGGCGAGCCTGATTCGTCCCTCAAGACGGCCCAAGAGATCAAGGAAGAGTACTGCTACGTCTGCCCAGATATCGTCAAGGAGTTCGCCAAGTACGACCGCGATCGCAGCCGATTCCTTAAGCACACCATTACCCAGCCCGGCGGCCGCCAAGTTACGGTTGATGTTGGCTACGAGCGCTTCATGGCCCCCGAGATCTTCTTCAACCCCGAGATTTACTCGTCCGACTTCCTTACTCCCCTGCCAGTGGTTGTCGATGGTGTCATTCAGTCTTCGCCCATCGATGTCCGCCGTGGTCTCTACAAGAACATTGTTCTCTCGGGTGGCAGCACGCTCTACAAGGACTTTGGTCGCAGGCTACAGCGTGATATCAAGCAGCTTGTCGATACGAGAATCAAGGCCAGCGAGGTGCGCAGTGGTGGAGCCAAGAGCGGCGGTCTTGATGTCCAGGTTATTACCCACAAGAGGCAACGGCACGGCCCGTGGTTTGGTGGTAGCTTGCTTGGCCAGACGCCCGAGTTCCGGTCGTACTGTCACACCAAGGCGGAGGTATGCTTGCCTGCTCTCGTCTCATTATCAGTCTGGTTGCTGACTGACTTTTACAGTACCAAGAATATGGACCCAGCATTGTGCGCCGGTTCGCTCTGCTCGGAGGACCTGGTGGATCTTAAGGGTAATATTTTGTGTACAGGAGCAAGTCCGCATCTTACTTTGCAGGCAGCGGGCGCCGATGTTTATATAATGGCGATGCATAGAAAAGAGAAACTAATGCTAGTGAAGTTGCGTCAGCGTGGATGGCCGATGTGTTTGTTGTGTTGATGTTCCGAATGCGGTTGCGCGGAGCAACGCTGTCCTTGAAAAGGGGGCATATAATACCGGTCGGTTGGTTCCGGAGGCGGCGTGCCAAGACATTGACGGTTCGGGGGAACTCCCTCTATGATTCGCCCTAACTCTCCGTGTGCAAGGATGGCAGCACCACGACCACGGTCCGCGCCGGGTGGTCTGATTTGGCCAGTTCTGGAAGTCTGGAACGGGACGGACTCGGGCGGGCTTAGCGAGCCTTCGTATCAATCTCACAACCTGCCGAATCTTCAACTTTTTTCTCAGCCCATTGATTTATATCGAAGTCAGGTCTGGGCTCGATCCTCATGTATCTCGACAGCTCGGGCTTCGCCTCGAAATACACCGACCATGTTCCCAGCGTCTTTCACGACACATTTGGGGGTATGTCCAGTTCAAAGCATTCATTAGTTGGATCACTTTGCGCAGGCAGCATCGAACATGGCGTAGGATGTGAAGCTATACGTATTTATGTATGCCCACCTACATACATGGAGACGTATACTATAATATAGGTAGGTAGGACAATAATGCGGGGAAGAAGCTTCATCCAGAGGCAGTTTAGTCCCGCGTCAAAGAGGTTCCAGACCTTCCTGCCTTGGGTGGCTTACAAGCCTCTTCGTCACTGCACCGGCTAGGTGGATGTGCCATCTTGATGCTTCTTCGCTCGAACGGAAGTCGAGTTGCGTTTCTTTTTCCTTTATAACTGGTTCGTACTAGGTATTACCAACCGCAGTCTCAGCTTTACCCCAACCCAACCCAACCATCATTAACAAAGACGCGGGGGAAGGAAGAGCCACAAGAGCTTCGAGCAAGAGGAGGAGGAGCACCTAGCACAGGTCTTTAGCGTGTGGTGGTGGGTTTGAGACAGTGGCTTCGGTGGAGCGGAAAGTCGTTTTTATAGAACGGGAAAGTCTGGGGGTGGAACACAGCACGGCGGGCGGGGTCTCTCGGATCGGGCCCGCGCGCTGTCAAGGACGTAGGCCCCGAAACACCGTATTCGAGACTGTATTCGGCTTAAGGTGCCGGCCGAGCCCACGATGAAGTTGTTATGGAGATGGGTCAACACAAAGATAAGAAGGAACGATGAGATTTCGGCCCGCTCCATAATAACGACTAGGTAGGGAAAAGCTCTCACAGCACCACGAGATGGTGATCAGAACCTCAGGTGCTTTCTTCACCACGACATTGTTAACATGATGAAGCGGGAAAAGGGCCGTTTCAATTGTGGCGCTTCTCAATGATAAACGAGGGCGACACTGTCCTGGCTCCGCTGAGGCTGGATAATAGGGCTACCATAAGAAGCTAGCGTTGTTTCCACGCCCCACTTGGAACATGTCATCCTCCCTTTTGACTTCCATTGGCACTTCACCCATTCATCCCAACCTCCATCCATCTTCTCTTGTTCGTCAGTTTCACATCACGACAATGGAAAGTTAGGACGATCGCACTTGACAAGCGCCAAGAGCCGATGATTTCCCCAACCATTCTCCACATTTCTCCTACTTCTGCGCATCGACGTCGAGGACAGCAATGGCTTCTTGGATGAACAGTTTCATCCAACAAGAGCTTGTGACCTGCTCTGCTTTGAATAGTTGGTTCAGAGTGGAAGCTCCCCCTCTTTGCTTCTCAATGTCTCTCCAAAAACCCTCCATACTGCGGACAAGATTCGGAAACCTTGAGCCGGCCGAATGCAGCAAACTTGAAGCCTCTCTCTCCCATGGATTAGGAGGATGCTGACCACTGGAGGGGTTCCTTCGAGGGGGTGCCTCAGGTGCCTACCGGGCTGATGGAAACGTATCCATAAGGTAGGGTCCCTTCTGCAAGTGCAGACAATGGAAATTGGCCAGTAGGAGCTTCCCGTACCGTTACATCCTCTACATCTCTCTACGTAGGGTACCCCTCGCCCGTCAGAATCATACGTTTTCCCTCGTCTATCTACAAGACTACAACACCAAGAGCCCCTCCAGTAAAGAGTCTCGGCCCCCGCCAATGCATCGCCAGACGTCCGACAAGTCTCACCCCGAGCCACCACTCACCCAGTTCACCCTCGCCGTCTGTAGAGACGTGCAGATCTCGGTCTCCCCTCTTCCTGTAGTCATACCTTGTTGCAGTCTCGTGTTTCTTTGGTTCGCTGTCCACCATGATGCTTGCCTGCCTTGCTTGGTGTCATCCGTTGCCTCCCCCTCTTGCCAACGGTATGCCGATCGATCGGGCCTATTGCTTTGTTTGCTATCCTCGCTTATCAGTGAGGGCGATGGGAAACTGCAAAAAAAAAGAGTATAAGAGGGCATGGCTGCCGCAGCTATTCCCGCTCTTGCACCACTCTTGCTGTCCATCATAGACTTCCATCCTATACAAAGAGCTTCCTCGGTCTCTGATAGAAAGAGAATCTTGTGTTTCACTTCGCTTTCATCAACTTCCTACATCAGGTTCAACAACACACATCCAAAATGACCAACTTCGAGATCCCAGAGCAGCAATGGGCCCAGGTAGTCGAGAAGAAGGGCGGTCGTAAGTCTAACGCCCTTTACCACTAACTAGTTCTCGAAGCAAATACTAACCTGTCCCTTCTTCTAGCCGTCGTCTTCAAGCAGATCCCCGTCCAGAAGCCCGGCCCCGATGAGGTCCTCATCAACGTCAAGTACTCTGGTGTCTGCCATACCGATCTCCATGCCATGAAGGGTGATTGGCCCCTCGATACCAAGCTTCCCCTCGTCGGTGGCCACGAAGGTGCCGGTATCGTCGTAGCCAAGGGTGAGCTTGTCACCGAGGTTGAGGTCGGCGACCGCGCCGGTATCAAGTGGCTCAACGGCTCCTGCCTGGCCTGCTCCTTCTGCATGCAGGCCGACGAGCCCCTGTGCCCCCACGCCCTCCTATCCGGCTACACCGTCGACGGTTCCTTCCAGCAGTACGCCATCGCCAAGGCCGCCCATGTCGCCAAGATCCCCAAGGAGTGCGACCTCGAGGCCATCGCGCCCGTGCTCTGCGCCGGTATCACCGTCTACAAGGGTCTCAAGGAGTCCGGTGCTCGGCCCGGTCAGTGGGTTGCCATCGTCGGCGCCGGCGGCGGTCTCGGCAGCATGGCTATTCAGTACGCCAACGCCATGGGCCTGCACGCCATCGCCATCGACGGCGGCGAGGAGAAGGGCAAGAACTGCCGCGAGCTTGGCGCCAAGGCTTACGTCGACTTCACCACCTCCAAGGACCTTGTCGCGGACGTCAAGGCCGCCACCCCTGAGGGCATGGGTCCCCACGCCGTCATTTTGTTGGCTGTCTCCGAGAGGCCGTTCCACCAGGCCGTCGAGTACGTCCGGCCCCGTGGAACCATCATCTGCATCGGTCTCCCCGCTGGCGCGTACTTCAAGGCCCCTGTCTTTGATACCGTCATCCGCATGATCACCATCAAGGGCTCGTATGTCGGTAACAGACAGGATACCCAGGAGGCCATCGACTTCTTTGCCCGCGGCCTTGTCAAGGTTCCCATCAAGACTGTCGGCCTTAGCAAGTTGCAGGAGGTCTACGACTTGATGGAGGAGGGCAAGATTGTCGGCAGATATGTTGTCGACACCAGCAAATAGAGGGCTTTAGGAGAGGTGGTATTTGTTGTTGGGCGGCGTTGTTCATGTTCTTTTTTATGAGATGATGACGAACCTGTTATGAAATGTGTATATTTGGCGGGCGCGGCGTTTTCTATTGTTGGCGGGTGGGTGGTTGAGATGAGCATGAACGGATTAAAAAAAGAGGGTAGGTTTGGTGGCAGGTGCACGGTTTGGTGTTGAACGGTTGATGGGCAAGTTTAGAACGAGATATCCTATTTCATAATGTTGAACCACTTGAACAAAAAGCCTTGTCATGAATCGTATCATTGAACCATAATGCTCATCGCTGTCTTTCTAATATCTATACGCTATGGGTATCCAAAGGTAAGTAAGTAAGTAGGTCCTGTTCATCCCCTACAATTCGTCACTTACCCCATTCATGCATTTATCCTCCCCATCTCATCTTATCCCATATCTCATCTAAACAGCAAACCCACCACTATTAACCTGCCTAGTCTCACTCGCCGCACAAACGTTCCATTCCCGAACCTCATCACCGCCTGCACCGCGCTCAACCCAGGAGCCTGCCAAGTAACATTATGCCCCCGTCCCCTCAAATCCTCGTACACGTCCTGTCCGTACCCTTGCTCAACCAGTAACACTTCAGGCATCAACTGATCATGCAATCTCGGCGCCGCCACCGCCGCCCGCATCACGCTTCCCTCACCACCCACCCCGTTAGCCTTTACCACCTCTGTAGTGGTATTCGGATGCACACCCAGCCCTTCCAAGACATTAAACGCCACCTGCGTCGTGGACGAAATGATCCTGCTTCCTCCCGCAGCGCCCGTAGCGAACCACAAGCTGCCGTTGCCAACGTGCTCGACCATCAGCGGGCAGATGCTGGAAAGCGGCCGCTTGCCGGCGCGGATAAAGTTATTGGGCGAAGGCACGAAGCCGAACGAGTTGTTCTTGTTGGGCTGGGAGAAATCGTCCATTTCGTCGTTCAATATGATGCCGGTGTCGGGCGTCATGAGACGGGCGCCGAAGAGCAGGTTCAGAGTGGTGGTGGAGGACACGGTCAGGCCGGAGCGGTCCGCGGTGACAATGTGCGAGGTGCCGTGGCTTTCGGCGGCGTAGTTCTTTGCTGGGTCGTACTCAGAGAGCGGCAGGGTGGAGTTGGGGAGGATTTTGGAAGCGATGAGCTTTGCGGTGGAGGGGGAGAGCATGGAGGACTGGAAGGAGGTGACGTTGGTGATGAAAGTTGGGTCGCCGAGGGATTGGCGAGCGCCGTAGGCGAATTTCATGGCTTCCACGAAGCGGTGGTTGGTTAAGGGCACGTCGGAGGTGAGGGAGGAGGAGGGGAACTGTTCCATGGTTTTGAGGATGGAGAGGGTCACGGCTCCGGAGGAGGGCGCGTCGGTGGCGAAGATGCGGAAGGAGTCCCGGTAGGTGATGTTGAGCGCCGACTTGATGGAGACTTCGTAGTTGGCGAGGTCAGCGTGGGTGAGGATGCCGCCGAGAGGTTGCAGGAGCGCGATGATGGAGTCGGCGATCGGGCCGGTGTAGAAGGCGTCGGCGCCGAAGAGGGCGATTTTGGCTAGGGTTTTGGCGTATCGTTTGCGCGTGATGGTGTCGCCGAGCCCGAGAAGGGTGCCGTTGGGAGCGAAATCTTCGGCCCAGACCGGGTCGTGGGTCAAAAAGTCGTCTAATACTGAGGCGCTGGTCATGTACCGGACCAAGTCCTCCGTTACTTTGAAGCCGTCCCGGGCGATCTTGACCGAGGGCAAAACGAGGTCGTGCCACGGCAACCGGCCGTACTTGCTGTGCACGTACTCGAGGCCGCGCAGCTCGCTGGGGATGGCCACGGAGCGGGCGCCGATGACGCTGGCGTTCGGGTCGTCGTTGTACATGTCCTTGGTGGCGGCGGCGGGCGCGGTCTCGCGGTAGTCTACCGTCTCATAGTTCCCATCCGGGTCGCGCACCAGCATGAAACCGCCGCCGCCAATGCCAGAGTGGTACATGCCGATGGTGCCGACGCAGAGAGTGGTGGCTACCATGGCGTCGGCGGCCGAACCACCCTTGCGGAGGGTGTCGATGCCAATCTCTGAACATATGGCGCTCTCACTGGCCACAGCGCCCCGGTGACCTTCGGAAGAGGTGTTTTGGATCACCCTTTGGTACTTGAACTCCAGGGGAACGGCGGTGACCACGGAGCCTAGCTGGCTTAGTACGGCCAGGCCACATAATAGTGGTGATAGGTGAGCTGTTGTATCATGTTAGTGACTTGACACGTGAATGTGTAAAGGAAGTGAACTGACGCATGACTGGCCGCCTTCAATATGTCAGATGAAGCGACGTGATTGAACCCAAGCTGTTGACCTCCTAAACCGCGCGGTTGTGATGGGAAGGGGGGGGGGGGGGGGGGGTTTGAGATAAGGGATGTCGTGCTTTCTCAAGTCACGGCGGTGTATCTCACCTTTAGCACGCCCAACGCCAACACGATGGATGAGAAGAAAAAATCTTCAACTAGTTGAAAATAGCACTGATTTTTGTATTTCAAGACCTACCGTCCAACCTCACGTGTCCGGAGTATCTACCGACCGTGGTGACGATCGCCATCGAAATGGCGGAGATGCCCCTATGAAAGCCTGGATTGGGGGTACCTTTTGGGGTACCACGTCATTGACGCTTCCCCGCTGAGAAATCAAATCTAAACCCAAATGGACTTAACTTCTCCCAGGGGTAGACCTTATCTCGAGCCGTCTCCAGATTAGCGATGAGACACTATCGAGAGAATTTGAACGAAGATGGATCTTGTGATGCCTTCGATCGAAGTGAACCACTTTGTCTCGAATAAAGGCAGTTTCGAGGTTGAACATTCCCGATCCGGACACGATGCACCAACAACTGCAGCCCAGCTTTCGAACTTGCTCGACAGAAGCAGAGCAGAGCTGCTGCAACCTGCAGGTGTTGCATCTGTGCATGTTGTTTGGTTGTGTGGTGGGTAGAACTCAGACCGACATATGAGCCAACAAAGTATTCCCGCCATTCTGGTTCAAGAAAGGAGAGACGGAGGTCATCATGTCTTTGAACCATTTGATATGTTTGGTGTAAGTGATCGAATTCGGAAAGGTGAAAAGTCACATACCAGGAAGTCTCCTTGGCGTGTATGTGGACATACCCAACCCCAACACCCTCTAGAGCTGGTCGTTTAAGTCGCAGTAACTCGGATTGTTTCTTCTCACCTTCTCTCACCTGCCGCTTTCCCGTCCATGCTTGCCTCTGGGTCCACAAACAACGACAAAAAAAACGACGACGCTTCGTATCTACCGGGCAGTTCGGCAACCCAAGTACGAGATCGAGAGGGCGATTCTGCAGCTTTCCTCGTCAGAATGCAAATTTTCCCGCCGGTCGCCTGGCAATCAATTGCGAGTTTGCCTTGACTAACGGCCTTTCCCACAGTCAAAAGCCAAAAATCCAAGTATTCCTAGAACATCCGTTTCCATGGGCTCCTGTCGCCCTTCATCAGGGAGACTCAGATGCTGAGACGACAGGAGACAACAGATAGGATGCCCTTCGGACGTTTGTCCGTGAACCTGAGAAGCCGAGCCGGATCCCTGCGCGGTAGTAGTGTCCGAGGAAACAAAAAGCATGGCGATGCCTGCGATGGAATCTTGATCCGGTCTGAACTTTCTGGGGCTTCACATGGCCGGCTTCTCCGCGGAGGCTTGGCGAGAGCTGGACGCGAAGTCTTTCTGATAAAGTGAACCGGGGCATTGAAATCTGAGCCTCGATTGTTCCGTGATGATGGGGATGGTGGAGAACAATGGATCCCTGTTTGACCGGACGAATCACGGGTGGTGCCGACCGGATCGCTAGCAGGAAAAGATGAAACAGCCTCCATCCTCTCTTCTCTTCAAGACCCCGACTGCCCCTGGACCTCTGGAAGAACTCTTCAACACAACAATCCTTCCCGCTATCGACCCACACTATGGCCCAACCGTCAAGGGGTAACCTCATCTTCGCTACCTCGTCAGATACCACGGAGATCAACTCTCAGAAAGAGTGGCGAAGCCGCCTACCAACAAGTGTGAACCAAGGCGGGAGTCGCGGCCATTTTTATGCAAACATAAATCCGAAGTCGAGAGAGAAGACCATCAGCACGATGAAAGAGTTGGACGAAACGTGCGTGGGCTGAAAATAGCTGACTGGCCATCTAATGGATGGTAGGACAGTGTCACCATGCCACGTCCATGCGGTGCCAACCATTGGCCTGGTTTCTATGTAAATGCACGGCTACGGAAATGTTCAAAAGACTCACGTCAGCCCGCGCCAGCAACTTGTCCACTTGCTCATTTAACTCGAGGGTATAATGGATGGTTCGTCCCGTTATCTGTTGCTGTCAGGTACGAGGGACGAGACGAGACAAACGGTGGGAGTCCGAGGTACCCCGCCGTGCCCGCCCGAGGCCTCTCTTCATTTCACCTTCAATCACCCGATGCCAACTCTCCCTATTGACTACCACTTTTAGATTTACTGCTTGTTGCAACTTTGCTCTTACCGTTGAAACCAAACGGCGATCTCGCGAACCGAGACTCAGCATCAAACGCACTCGAGGCTCAATTACCTCAACCAGTATTTGCTGGCGATCACTTTGTCTCAGAGACTCTTCACTTACACGTTTGGTGCTCAAATCGATCATCCATCTTACGATCAACGACTAGTTGAGGATCATGACATACACCACATCAACAACTATCAACTCATGCTTCATTCCAGGTCCACGTTGACTTTATTCCTAAAACCATCACCACCGTCCCCGAGGATGAGGAATTCCATGTCATTCATGCATGTTATTTTCTTCTAGGAATTTCCAGGCACCTTTCTGCTGCCGTTGGCTCGGCGCCTCCTGGTCCCTCGGGGCCCCTAAGAATCTTATTCGGGAGGTCGGGTTCCTGGCCCCATTGGCCCGCTACCGTTACTGTGGTTGTCTCAGGAAGTCTGTTCCTGCGTCTGGCTCCTGCTAACACCCTTGTCGTGACAGGGGTGCCGTCCTCGCCCGTGTTACAGAAATTCTCGAACCAAGAACCCCTGGATCTCGCGAAAGTCTCCTCGACAAGATGAACCCACGTTCTCGTGGTGCCATTGGGGCCCGGAGCCCCGGTACTCACCATCATCACATTTCACAACGATGGGTACCGTCAGTCCGTCGATTCTCTGACCGTTCGACCACAGCGGAGAGACTCCTCTGTACGGAAGAGCCCCGGTCAAGTTTGTCAAGGCTCTGTGGAGCCCCTATCCAAGAGTCTTCCCAGTGGCCAGACGCTGCTAGTGTAGCTGTGCCTCGTTTACGTGCAGTGGTTTTTCGTCAACAGGGGTTCTTCTCTCTTGGCTTGTGGATGCGGGGAGTTTGTGACTTCGTGAGAGTTTATCCTTTAAAGCCCCCGAGAAGTCTCGTTCCCCTTCGTCTCACCTCCCTCTTGTTCTCTTTTTTTTCCGTAGCTCCTTCTTTCCAGTGGTCTGTCTCTTTACAAGTCAAGCATCATTCCTTTTGCTTGTCTCCTCGTCTAGCCAGTCTAGCAGCCTTCACTTGTTTTTCTTCCCACCTTTACGTTCTCTGTTACGAGCAAGTGTCTTTAACCTGCCAGTCTTGCGAAGTCGATCTTCGCTCTTTCGAAAACAGCATCAACAATATTGCCTGGGCGCAATAACCACTCATTATCACCTCCAGACTACGTGTTTGAAAAGAGGGAAAACAAACAACCCCAAGTATCCCGATATACGATCCGACTCATACATACATCAGCCAACATGAAATCCTCCGCCATTGCCCTCGGCTTCTTTGCCGCCCTCACAACTGCCTACTCTCACCCTCGTCATATGCACTTCCGCCGCTTCAACGCCACTGTTCCCGCCGTCAGCTCTGCCAAAGCTGTGGCTAGCTCCTCCGAGGCTGCTGCCGTTGCCTCTTCTTCGGCCGTGGATCTTTCCACTGGTGCTGGTGCTATCTCTACCGGTGTTGCTCTCTCGACCGGCGTTCCTCTTTCGACTGGAGTCCCCCTTTCCACGGGAGTCCCTAGCTTCCTCGACTCCGTCAATGCTACGACTACTGTCCCCGAGGCTCAGTCTCTCACCACATTGACCGTCATCGCCACTTCGATCGAGACCGTCACTTCGTGTGCTGCCACTATCACCAACTGCCCCGCCAAGACTGAGGAGCTTGCTGCCCTTCCCACCGAGGCTCTCGCTACTACTGTCGTCACCCGCACCGCTGTTCTTACCACCACCGTCTGCCCCGTGGCCGATGCCTCCTCCATCGCCTCCAGCGTTCTTGCTGATGCTTCGAGCACCGGTATCAGTAGCTCCGCCTTCTCCTCTGCTGCTCCCGCAACCGCATCTGCTCCCGCAACCGCCTCTGGCGCGACCACCTCCGCTCCCATCTTCAGCAACACCACCACTGCCGCGCCAGTCGCTGCCTCATCCGGTCTCACCACCCTCACGGTGATCGCTACCGAAGTTCAGACCATCACTTCCTGCGCTGCTTCCATCACCAACTGCCCCGCCAGGACCGAGGACCTCGCTACTCTTCCCACCGAGGCTCTCGCTACCACTGTCGTCACCCGCACCGCCGTCTTGTACAACCACCGTCTGCCCCGTGGCCGATGCCTCCTCCATCGCCTCCAGCGTCGTCGACAAGGCCTCCAGCACCGGCATCAAGGTTACCGCCACCGCCGTTGAGACCGTTACCACCCCCAAGGCCATCACCATCACCATGGGCAACGGCGACAACGGCGGTAACACTCGTGTCATCACCACCACCGTCATGTCCACCATCAAGAACACCGTCGTCAAGACCATCACCATGACCAACCCCGTTGCCATCTCTACTTCCGCCGCTGAAGCCATTGGTGGTGGCAGCCCCGCCACTTCTGCTGCCGCTGGTGTTGAGGTCGACACCACCTCCACCATGACCACCACCTCTACCGGCACCAGGACTATCACCGTTGGTACTGGCGCTACCGTCACCTCTGTCTTTACCCAGCCTGCTTCTCCCAGCACTGGCTCTGGCAACGGCAACGGCAACGGCAACGGCAACGGCAACGGTTCCGGCTCCGACTCTGACTCCGGTGCTTGCCAATGCCCCGCGGCCGTGACCGTAACCGCCGCCGGCGCCAACTGCCCCACCAACGCCGGTGCCGCCGCCGTTACCGTCACCGCTGCCCCTGTAACCGTCACTCTCCCCGCTTCCACCATCTACGTGACCATGACTGCTCCCGCGGCCGTCAACGAAGTCGTCGCTAGCTCCACCTCTGCCGCCGTCGCCACCACCACCACCGCTCTTGGTAACAGCGGCACCGATCTCTCCGGCGGCGAGACTGGCTCCGGTAATGAGGAGTCATGCCCCCCTGACGAGGAGACCACTGGCGAGGACGGTACCGAGGGTGATGATGAGGATGAGACTTGCACCGATGAGGTCGTCACCGTGACTTCCACCGCTGGTGCCTCTGCTACCCTTGCGCCCTTCCCGGCTGGTAACAGCACGGTTCCCGCGGCGCCTACTGGCACTGCCGTGTTCCTTGATGAGATCTAAGTCAGTTCGGTTGGATTTGTTTTGTAGATGAATGAGCAAGTGAAAGGGAGATTAACGGCTGGATAGATCAGTTGGTATGTAGATGATGAGATGGATGAAAAGAATGAGGCTGTGTTTGCTGTTGAGTTAGTTGGATATTCATATACTTCTTGTTACCACAATGTACTTGTACGTATGTACGTTTCTTCTCTTTTCATGATCTGGATCATAAAAACTTTTTTGAACAAAAACGAAATATGCAGGGAAAGAGTCGCCAGCTCGAACCAGTTTGTTTGCTTGGGGTTATTGTAGACTTATCTTTTTCTTGGAATGAAGATATGAACTATGTGATAACAACTTATATCCTAAGAGGGCTATGTCAAGGACCTGTGACTTCAGATCGACGGCTGTAAAGGTTGCTTAACTGGATAAATTGATTGGCCACAGGACAGAACAGTGGGTGCGGTCTGTGTTCGGAGCGAGAGGGAGTCAACACTAATGCCATTCATCTGCCACCGTACGTATAAATTATATAGACTCTTGTATTCAGAGGTGTGTATGCTAAGCGAGCGACTATGAGACTCATAACTATCATTGATACATGCCCAAGGCCGAGTAATCCATTGCAGGCCATGCATTTAACTTCCATCCATGCTTCTGGTCGTTTCGTTTCCATTTCAATCTAACACAAAAAAGAACTAGACAATCTTACTTCGGCCTCCCCTTGTTGAACTCTTCATGGCACCATTTTTCCATTATTCGAGTCAACCTCCTTCAGCAGAGCTAGCCGCCAAAAGATGAAGTCCTCACATTAGGAGAAAAAAGGTCCGGTAAAGAGACGAACAACTAGGAAAGGTTGTGTGACTGCTCGTCATCACTAGATCAGGACAAGACAGATTCATACTTCCTCCATTATGAGCCGCGTACCGGGTCGTCCTGATATTGCAAAATCCATAGTGATGTTGTTTCCAAAGCACTCGAAGGGGCAGTAGCCTCTCGAGCGTAGGATGTCGGGTGATTTGTTAAATTAGCTGCTGACGAAGATGTTGTGAAAACCGAATCTCATATGGTCAAGGTAAACTTCCAACAGAGAACCGATTGTGAAAATCCAGCGCAGGATTGAACGAACGACGTCCTTTATACTCAAACAATGTCGGAACAAGAGAGAGTGTATACTTGAAAGAAAAGCGGAGAACCGTGATTCCCATGAGCTCGAGGTGGCGGTCGCGGTATGGCCCGCCTTCAACGATGATAAGTTCCATTGAAACGAGGACCAGGTGCGATGCGGCCTCCCATGGTAGGGCCAACACCAGGGCCAGGACGAGTAGCAACAGCATGATTGGTGCAGAGCATGCCGACGCGGGAGCCGAACTTTGATCCGCGAAGGGAGACCATGTGCTTCCGGATATGAGCAGCAACGATCTCGCGGTGCTGAGGGTTGGCATGGGTCAGGATGTACTGGATGAGGTAGTTGCCATACTGGTCGCTGGCGATATCGATCAACGGGATGCGGGGACGGTCATGTCTGCCCTCGCAGACGCGATCCAGATAGCGACCCAAGAACTCGGGACCTCCAATCTTGAGGCACTTCTCAACAACCTTTGAGGCGAACTGGTCCATGCTGTACTTAGCTGCATAGCGAATGACATGATCGATGGCACGGCTGCGGTCTGCGGGAGCACCGTGTTCACAGATATGCTGAATGCACCAGTTGCCAAATTGCCCATGGGCGACGATGTCGATGTTGGCAAGGACTTCCTCGATGCAGGGACGCTGTGCACACATCATCAGCAAACATATTATGGAGAGGTTAGGTTCAATTCTAACAGATGACATACCTTGTCTTCCTCCAAACAGTTCTCAAAGATGTTTTGGACAACAAGACTGCCAGTCTCGCCTAATGCAACTTCATGCCACATACCATGAAGAGCATCGTTGACGTACTTCATGATCTGCGGAGGGGATTCGGTCCATCTCAGCTCGAACAGCTTCTGCCACACGTGGCATGCGTAACGGTGAATAACCGTCTCTGGAATCCTGCGCAGAAGCTCGTGGACCATGATAGCCTTGTAATCTTCAGGGACAGAGTCGAATGCCTTCTGAACGACGTGGCAACCGAAGGGATCCATAGAGAGGTTCAGAGTGTTTCCGCGGATCGCCTCGGCAATCTTGATGACTTGCTCAGGAGTGCCATGTTCGAAACAGCGCTGAACAAGGAAGTTGCCAAACCGATTGACCATCAAGGGATAGGCCTGTGCGACGATGGCTTCAACAATGTCGTACTTCTGCTCAGGTGTTCCAACCTTGAGCTTCTGCTGAAGGAAGATAGAAGCCTGTTGGTCGTTGTTGCAAACAATCTTGTCGACGATGTACTTCCAGTCGCAAGTGACGTTGCGGTCCAACAGCCGCCGATAGTTCAGAGGCTCCGTAGCCGGCAAATAGGTTTGCCCCTCCGAAGTCACGGTCTGCAAGGAGAGTTTGTCAGTCCATTCAGTGATGGAACCCATCCCTAGTGGACTCACCTCTGTCTTCCAAGGTACTCCTGCAACATTGAATTCGGTGGCATGCGGAGAGAGCGGAGATACAACCGGCGGCTGTGGGTAGGCTGAATACATGTTCATGCTTGCGGCCCCCGCCATGGTGTTAGGCGGGCCTCCTGGATAGGCAGGAGCAGGTGCAGGAGCTTCGTAATGGCCAGGCCCCATGTTGTACGCATTGTAACCACCGTAAGCATTGGAGGAGCCGAGACGGTTATCATATCTGTTGCCTCCACGACGGCCCATGGGACGGCTCATGTCGTGATCATTGTTGATACGCTCAGGCCGATAGGTCTCGATTGCCGAAGGCATATAAGAGGGCTCGTAAGCGTGGTTCGATCCACGCATGTTCTGCCACGGTGTGGCCTGGGGGCCGTCGACAACAGCAACAGGTCCTGGCGTAAAATTCGGATTATAGGATGATTTGCTGTTGTTCCAAATGGCGCGAGAACGGTTGAGACCTGCAGCCGACATGTCTGACAAAGTATCGCCAGTATCGGGGCGCGCATTGTCGTGAGCCGCCCAGTTGTTGTCGCGACCAAACGGCATTTTGGTAGGATGTCCGAAGGCTCCATTCATGGAGGGTCGCGAGCCCGACGGAGATACCGTGGCAACGCGGGCAGCCTGAAAGTCGGGATCAACACCTAGGCCTGGCGTCGTGCATACACCGTCCTGGGTGACATAGCGAGTCTGAGCCAGCTCTTGATCCAGTCGTGAGATCTTGGTCTGGGCCTGCGCAAGCTCTTGCTTCAGACGCAAAACCTCATCGTTGGTGGGCTGACGGTCGCTGAGCGCGGTACTAGCAGGTCTAGTCGTAGATGCGGTCGTAGGGAACCCATCCGTAGCAGGCGTAATGGGAAGAGAACTGCATGACGACTGGTGGTCTAGGGCACGATGAAATCTGACTTCTTCGTCCGACGTCTTGAAAGATTCGACGCTGCGTGGCTGCGGCAACTCGGGGATCGTGGCGTACAACTTGTCCATGTTGTAGGCATCAACAGCGGCCATGGCCTCGTTCATCTTGACCTATGCTGTGTGGTTAACGGATGTAGGCGCTGCTTCGGGGAGTGTGGCCACGTACCTTTGAGTAGTTCTGGTTCGCCAACTTGGACGTCTTGAGCGCGCTGATGGACTGCTTTTGCGAGGGCGGCTCAACGTCCTGGAAGAGACCGGGTCAGTGATAAAAGTTTTCAGATATGTATCGGTTTAAATACAAAACAGGCGTGGATAGATCGAAGTGAATATGAAAAGAGAGACCGGCCCAAAGTACGAGTCAAAACATTAAGCTGGAGAAACAAGATTGCAATCCGGAAGTTGCTGAACAAATGTTGATTTGGGAGTGAGCGGGGCTAATAAGTAGGCGGTGGCATTGACAAGAGGGTTGGTACGGGCAGCTGGCAGTCTGCTGCAATGATTTTCGTCCCAAGTGTGTTGCACTTCGTCGCCGTCTGGGGGCCAGCAAGGTTTGACGACCCGGCGGTAGGTGGTGGAGGCAGCAACTTCCCAGGACCAGAAGGAACCCGAAACATGAACAAAGATACGTACCTTCTGCAAGTCTGGAGACATCTCATCTGGAAGCTTCGTGTTCTCGTCCTGAGACTGCGAGAAACTCCTGGAAGCCGAAGCGCGGCGTTCGTTGGGAGAGCCGGTGGATGCTGCGACGGCAGACATGGTCATCTGCCTGGGGCTGGATGTTGAATGGCTAGCCCGGGTTGGTTGGAGGGATGCTTTGAGGGGTGTTGTTGTCACAATGGGAGGAGATGCTCAAGATGGTGATAGAGAAAAGCAGTAGATTTGGTTCCAATGGCGACGAAAGACACAGATAAATAGAAGCTTGGGGACGAGAGATGACCACGAACCGCTTGTGGGATAACACGGTTGGAGATGGCACCGACAAGGAGAGGGAGAAAGGCGGAAATGGAAGAAGCCTTAATGTGTTGATATAATGCGGGAGAGAGAAAGGGCTCCAAGAACTGGAAGAAAGGGTACAATTGTGCCCGAGATACCCGTACGTTCAACTACTGTTGCCCTGAATTTGCACCTTCTTGAACTGAAGGCAACAGCAACAAACATCTTGGCAATAGACGCACTGGTGGGAATAGGGCAATGATACGTGCCCGAGATGACCGAAATCCAAGTCGGGTGGATCCTTGGGGTTTCCCTTGAGGAAGGAAGGCACGAACTGTGACCGGGACCGTGACCGCGACTGTGTCTGGACACTCCAAGTGGAAAGGTTCACGATGCCGATGAGGTAATCTGCAATTTCCATGATCGGAGCTCCCTCACCGGGCATCAGATGATTGGAGCTGAAGTGAATTTGCACGCATATCTCGCGCTCATAACCTTGTAGGGTCCGAAAATCGGACTCGCATGAGATGGGTCGCTGGGGAAGTTGCGACCAGTCTTCCAGCTTGGAAGGCGCGAACAGTCATGAGGGGTCGGCGTCGTGCCTCCTTGAAGTTCAATTCTTACTGCCAAGCAGACGGGAGCTGATGGTCACGATGCCGGACATGACGGTCAAGCCGAGCCATCGAGACATCCTCACGCGTCAAGGACCTTGCTGTCCGGCTGCCACTTCCCAACACGATCGACGGGTTTCTGGGTTAGGTGTCGGAGAAATTCCAATGACAAATGTAGACGGGATTCATCTTCGGTAACACGTCACATGCCATCCCATGTGTTCGTGCCATTTCTTCACCAAAAATATGTTGAACAGGTAAGCATGCAATTTCTGGAAGCTTCAACAACAAGACGGCATCTTCGACATCAACAAATAGGAATGGGATGGCTTTTCTCTTTCCGTAGGACTGGGATGTCAAGTTTCCGGTCAAAAAATGGAAGGTGTATCCAGCGTTAGCTCACTTTCCTGTTCAGCCCGGCCTCGTTTGAAAAGGCAAAGGAACAACTTGGAGCACCAGCGCACCTTGACACAGTCATGGCGTCTTTGGTGGGACACTGGCTTTTTCCGGCCAAATCATCGAACCTGTTCGGTAAAGATGGACAACGGTGAAAACTTATGCCCTCCCGCCCTCCCTTTAATCCATCCATGTCAAGGAAATATGACACGGTATCTTCAGCTTCTCAACAGGCGTTCTCTTGTTCGACGCATAACAAGACTTCTGCAGACGGACTGGGAGGAGCGTCCGGTGATGGACATTTTTTCAAGCTGGTAATCGTGGCCTGCCTGCAAAACTAGGCAACAAAACGAAGCCATTCGGTAGGCCAAGTGTAACAGGCATCGCTAACCACATGTAGTCATGGGTAATACCTCGTCATATGGAAACTGCTGTGGCATCGGTTGCTGAGCGGAGAATCGATATCGAAGTGGACCAAGTGCCGAACGAACGCGAGGTATTGAGGGTATGTGATTGTAGCCCGCCCACTTTATAATACATGTACAAGTCGTGTAGTTCTGTTTTCGGGACGTGGTATCTTATTTCTTCTTTCCCTTCGAATCTGTCGCAAGCCACGAGAGTTAGAGAGACTTGAATTGTGAGCAAGGGTTACAGACGGAACCTACCGGCCGCAGAGGGAGCTGTCCTCTTCTTTTTGGGCGCTCCCTTGTCGCGGGCTCTCAGACTATAGGCATGGTTAACTTGTGATACTTGCAAGTAAACATTAGCAGGACTTGGGGAGACGAACGCTGCCAAGTGCTCCAAGCGATCCTCATCGACCTCATCGTCCACCTCAAGACCAAGAGTACCGAACTCCTTCTGGAGGTCGCGGATACCGACGTTCTTGCGAGGGTAGTAGGCCACGAGCGCCGGGCCCTTGAGTCGCTGGCGGAGGATCTTGTTGCCGGTGCGGACTCTTTCGGGGTTGAAAGTCGTCGAGAAGAGCTCGCAACGAGCCTAGGTCAACAGGATTAGCATGCTGGTTCTTCCGCTAGTCTGGAGCTATTCCATACCTTCACAAGTTGCAGTAACCGCGCCTGTGGGACCGACATCTTGCTGTTACATGGAATTGCGGGTTCGCGAAGTCCAGAATCCGCAACCACAAGAGCCGCGAATTGTTCGACGTCGTTCAGAGATCTCCCGCGTCCAGCCCGTCAAGCGCGGTGCGCTACCAATCATATCCCTCCATTCGCTCCGTAAGTGGGTCATGGATTGCAACCGTTGTTTTCTGTCCGTCAAGGCACAAGCCCGCCTGATGAAGCTGAGGGTTCTAGGGCTGACAGGCGCTGAAAACGACAGCTACGGGCCAGCAGCAGTGAATGGACATATGGATCTGGGGTCAGACAGGGGGTTAGGGTTTCCACTTCCATTGGATGGGATTCTCATCTCGAATCCCATTTCTTCGATTGTGCTTCTTCTCAACTTCATCCGTCCAACACCAGGTACCAACACGCCATCTGAGTTATACGTCTTGCTTCCCAGAAAGCAAAAGGTCATCATGCCGAAACACGGAGTCAACCCAGAGGGGGTATCAGAACCGCTCCCCAAGCGTACAAAGTCAGAATTTGCATCATCATCAGGATCACAAGGCCCTGCATTGGAGCCGGCGACCTCGATCCAAATTCCTTCTTTGCATGCCAATACCAAATGGACACTCGCTACTATCGAAAGAACGCGGCCACCACTCCCGGAAATTCTGGACCCGGCACTCAAGAAGGCGGCACTCACACATCCTGGTAAAGCTAACAACGATCCTGTTGCAAGTTATGAGAGGCTGGAGTGGATTGGTGACGCCTACCTTGAGCTCATCGCCTCCTCCTTCATTTACCAAACTTTCCCAACTTTGCCGGCTGGTAAAAGCGCACAACGGCGCGAGATGCTCATCCGCAACACCACACTAGGCGAGTTCTCCGTCTACTACGGCTTGGACAATATGGCCGATATCCCCGAAGAGTTCAACATGGAAGGCAGAGTTGGTGGCACGAATGCAAGCCAGAAAGTCAGAGTCAAGATTCTCGGAGACCTTTTCGAAGCCTATGTGGGAGGTGTGATTCTCTCTGATCCTGCCAATGGGATCCAGCGTGTTTCAGACTGGCTCAAGGCTCTCTGGGGTCCTCTTATGGCGGAGTATATCCGCGAGGAAGAGAAGAAATCCAAAAGTGGCCAAGCGCATGATCCCAAGACCATACTCGAAGCTGCCATCGGCGCGAGGGGCGTCAAGATTGAGTATAAAGACCTCCCTTCCAAAAACCTCAAGGACAGGGGAACCAAGTTGCCTCTTTTCGCCATTGGCTGTTTTATGACAGGCTGGGGCGAGACCAACCTGCAACTCGGGTTCGGAAGTGCTTTGAGCAAGAAGGAAGCTGGGCAGAAAGCGGCTCAGATGGCCTTGGAGAACAAGAAGCTGCTCAAAAAGTTTACGGACAAGAAGGCGGAGATGAAGGCCGCGCGGGAAGCCCAGTTGCAGCTGGCAGGAGTAACGTATCCCCTGAAGAATAAACCTTCCGCACAGGAAAGCACTGGCGATGCATTGTAGCGACCAAGTACTGTTGAGGTCCTACACGATATCTGACACTTCGACACACCACCATCACATGCCCGAAGTCTCCTGGTTTAGAGCCTGGGTATCGGCCATGAGAAGGATATGATCGAATGAACTAGGGCCATTCATTACCACAGGCAAACGGCCCGGGTTCAGGGGAGGACCAGGTGCAATTTGTTTGCACATGTGAAGAGAACCCACAGCGAAGAAGATGTGGACAAAGCTCGATGATGGGCTATTTTGTCCATTGACAGGTTAGCGACTCATCTCATAGTCAGCAGAGATATCCATTAGGCATATTCGGAATGTTATACCCCTAGTGTTCGTTACTTTTGAAATATCTGGTGGCTTATTTCGAATACAGGTCTCACATACCACTGTGCTTTGACAACAAAGACTTTGAAGACAAAGAAAAACATCGTAAACGAGGCGTCCAGAGTTGTTAAACGGTGATCACGAAGCACTCGACCAATCATAGACTTCTTCTTGGTGCATTCCATGTGCGCCTACTGCGGCCGAGCATCCAAGCCGGCTCCGTCCAGGGGAGACCCGATCCCACCTCGCCTACTCCGGGGTGCGCCGAAAAGATGGGGAAGTGGAGACCCGATCAGGCCTTAACGAGTCGCGTGCCGAGGCATCCCAAATTAGCGGAGAGCTGCACCACCTGCCTGTGGAAACATCGCCCAATCGACATCACTGACAAGCAGTTGCGCCCGCACAATAGCAGAAACTCCCACTTACAACTACACGATGTAATCCGTCCAAGTTCAACCGTCACTTCTCCCACCCGAGCGATCTCGACTCTGGCGCCGGTATCCTTCTCTCTGAGCCATGCACCATATTGCTCCGAGCTTCAACAGTTCAGAACAGTTCAGCTCGCCCTCGGAGTTTCAACGGCCCACCGATTGCGATTTCCGACCGGTGTGACCCAGTCCCCAAAGATTATCCAACAACATAACCCCTTTGTCACGCTTTACGAATCGACGTTTTATACCCCCAACGACCCAACTAACACGCCTTACGACTACAATTCGATTTGTCACTGCAATTTTCCTGCCATATACCCCTCGGTGTCTACTGTGTACATCATACCAAGCGCAATCGGAGTAGCAAGCATTCAACACCACATACTATTTTCATCATACCTGTCCCATCGATACAAATAATAATTCGACTTGTCGGCGATACTATATACATCATAAAGATGGCAGACTCAATAGGTACGCTCCATTTTTGCGCCAGATTGTTCCCACCGTTTGTCACTTGTCGTTCATCTTCGAAGTAAACCTTCAGCTGACTTGCCCTTTTCTGATAGACCGTGTGTTTGTTCATGCCCTGAATACCGTCAAAAAGATTCCCAAAACGGGCGCCGCCCGCCCACCTCCCGGCGACCGCATGCGACTCTATGGTCTCTACAAGCAAGCCATGGAGGGCGATGTCGATGGGGTGATGGAGCGACCTAGCGCTGCAACAGCTTACGGTGCTGCGCCCGAAGACCTTGCGCGCGAGCAGGATAAGTGGGACGCGTGGAACTCGCAAAAGGGCCTATCGCGCACCGAGGCCAAGCGGCGTTACGTTGAGGCGCTGATCGAGACAATGCATCGATATGCCAACAACACGCCCAATGCGCTCGAATTGGTTGCCGAGCTCGAGTTTGTGTGGAACCAGGTCAAGAGTAATAGCCCCAGCGAGCAGTCGCTTCCTGGAGGCGGGCTTCAGCAGCAGCAGCAACAGTATAATAATGGAGGTAACGGAGGTAATTACGGGTATGGCAGTGTTGGTCCATATGGCCAAAGCCCAGGACCGGGCGTGAGAAGGTTCCAGCATCCGCTGAGCGGGACGGAAGGGGGACTGAGAGTGTTGAGTCCCATGAGTGAGGAGGACGAGTCGGAAAGGAGGATGAGGGAGGAGGCGGAGCAGGAACTCTTTGGAGGCGATGAGTTTCCGGGCGAGTACGCGAAGCGCAACGACAAACGAACCAAGAGGATGGAGAGAGCGATCGTGAGGCTGTCGGCTGAGATCGCGGCGCTGAGAGAGCAAATCTCGTCGGGAAGGGAGTGGAAGACGCGCAAGGAAAAGAGCTTCACCAACTGGCTTGGGTGGTGGTTCTGGGTGCTCGTGAAGCACTTTGTCATTGACTTGTTTATCCTGGTGGTGCTGCTGATCTGGATGCGCAAGAGAAAGGATAGAAGGTTAGAGGATTATGTGAGAGGAACATTGAAGCTGGCGAGGGAATACGCAAGGATGATCTTGCCATCCCGGTGAAGCCCACGGAGCTGTATAAGAGCAGGAACTTGAACAATATCCGCCGCGGAGACGATGATACTACAGAGGGAACATATCGTTGCACATTGTTTAGTTACGTATCAACCCGCACAGACACATATGGCATTAGATACGAAGATCTCCAGGGCATCATAACTTAATGCATTTTCAGGGGCGGATCATTGCCTCGTAGGCGTTTTAGATAAACAAGCTTGAGGGTGGCAGAAGTCGAGGTTGTATTTTATCAAAATTCACTTTCGTATCATTTCTGACAACTTCATGCTGCTGTAGGCGAATGTGGTATATTGACGGTGAGAATAAATGGGTGATGTGGGTTATGACCTGCAAGTAAATACGCCAATTGTCTCCAGGTAGATTTGCCAGGATATTGAGAGTATTATTGGCTATTTCAAATAGTAAAATCCTTCGACGACATTCATCTTAATCCTCACAAAAAACGCCAGAGAATTGGGTGACTACCACAAGTTGCGGATTCTCAATATCAGCCAACGTCGGCAGGCCAATGCACAAACCAGATCAAATTCTGATATAGCATTGATATCTCATCGTATGTACAAGTATTGACGAGTGTCAAATGCAATCACTTTTCTAAACCACAAAAGCAAGTTGCTGACGATATTTTCACCACCAGGAAATTCCTCTACAATATTCGAACTGACTCAAATCTTCCTTTGTCGGCCAAGACACAGTCACGGAAGTTATCGCGAAAGGCGTTTTCCTTGGCCACGGCGCATTTCTCAAGCGGTCAAAATGTCCTCACATTCAAATCATCGAGCTGGCGCCCATCCCACCGGCGACGGCCATCATCGACCTCAAACCCCAACACTCCGACCTTCCCAGCAGATTCCCCCGCTCGTCAACGTTGCACCCAGCTTGTTTGTCCCTCTCAGAAAGGAAGACATCGAACCACCATCTGAAGATGACGAGCCAAGCCAGCGGATCGCACGCTTGAAGCGCATCATCGAGACCATTGACTACCACACCGCCGCCGTCAAGGAGAATTTCATGTGGATGTTTGGGCGAGAGATGCATCGCTATTCCCTCGACGCCGCCGAGCGTGAGGAGGAGTTCGGGCTTCGCGATCTGCACCCGCCGGGCCCGGCAGAGGCGGAAATCGACGCCGTTTTTCAAAGCATGGAGATGCCAGCCCCCGGAGGGTATGACTACAATGATTTCAACAACCCGTTCAACGTCAAGTATCTGCCGGAGGTCAACCCACAGGAGTACATGCCGCACAATGCCTCGCTGAGGGAGAAGGCCATGATGGATGTCCTTATGGTGGTGGAATCGGGCAAGAAGGAAATCGATGGGTACCAGAATCACATGGATAGGTTGAGGAGTCACTATGTCGAATTGCTGGAGAGGGAGCACGAGGTGCTCAGACAGGCGGCGTTGAGGCCGGAGGAACGGACTCAGATACAGGATGCGCCCATGGGTTGATAGCTTACTGGTAGGTATCACCACATGCTGCCTGCCATGAGTGTCGACATGGATACGAGCCCATGGATGGATCAGCAGCAGGCGTGAAGCAGGAATCAGATCCCAGATAGCCGTCTAAAAGAACATGGAGCAGACTGTTACTAATTTACGCGCAACCTGCTTAAGCAAGGCGATTTTCTTCGTGACGAGATGTGGCAACCGGCGGTAAGAATCACTGCTCAAGGAGGCCCTCGAAAGGGACATCTAGCGTGTATCCATAAACGGAGCCAAATAATATCTATCTAGGACACATGATAGAGGGGAACACTCGTAGAGTGTGCAAACCATCCGTACCCGAAGGCGTGGACGATCGCGAACCAATATCCCCCTACAATAAGTGGCCATAGTACAATAATGAGGAAAAAAGATCAAAAAAAGAGGGAGCGCGGCAGCTGGCTGAGCTTTTAAAGGAGTTTCAAAATCTGAAAGTGGGCTTACAAATTGAGCAATATGATTGGTCAAAGCTCTCTTTTGCTCCTCCGCGAAACGGGCAGCTGGTGGCGTCAGCTCCTCACTTCTTGCCGGGACGGCAGGGCGGAACCCACTGCACCGACCAGTCGACTGGCAGAGTGGCAGACTGGCAGGTCCGTCGTCCAACTCATAGCACAGACCACAGAAGGCTGCCCACTGTCATTGCCGACCCGTACAAGCAGGCGCTTGCTGGCTGCTGCAGGCATATTGCGATACACTCAACTCTACCTCTCGATACTATCTCGACCTCCAACTTCCCCTCCGACCGCCGTCGAGACGACGACACACGATGTTGAGGTCGACATTGTCCCGTTCGGCTTGGCGGACTGGCAGGCATCAGGCGGCCAGGAATGCCAGCCGTGCCTTTTCGGCCACAGCTCAGAGACCCGCAGAGGTCGAGCTCACAATTGGTATGTCTCCATCCAGACCTCCACCCCATGACTAGCATACACCGTGTATCATCCCCGTACCCGTCGGCGCCGATGTACTGACTCGTGCCTCCCGTATCTTACAGATGGAAAGAAGGTCTCTATCGAGGGTGAGCACTCACACCATGCGCTGCGTCGCAAGTCCTGGGCCACGGAAAATGGGGAGAAGAGAGAGGGGGCAAAAAACACGGAACATGGTCGTCGCTAATACTTGTGGAAACCAACAGCCGGATCGGCCTTGATCCAGGCTTGCGAAAAGGCCGGCGTTACCATTCCCAGGTATGCGGAAAACGGACCCTGAATCTCGGGAAACTGCCCGTAGAGGTTCTTGCGCTGACTGTCTTGCAGATACTGTTATCATGAGTACGTCACATACGGTTTCGCCCCGCTCTCCCTAAATTTATACATACGGAGCTCCAGTCACTCCAACAGGCCTCTCAGCCCTACGAAGATCGACTGACAAAATGTTTAACTTCTTAGGAAGCTCATGATTGCTGGCAACTGCCGCATGTGCTTGGTCGAAGTCGAAAAGGTCCCGAAGCCCGTCGCGTCGTGCGCATGGCCCGTCCAACCCGGCATGGTCGTCAAGACCAACTCGCCCCTGACACACAAGGCGCGCGAAGGTGTGATGGAGTTCCTGCTCGCGAATCACCCCTTGGACTGCCCGATTTGCGACCAGGGTGGTGAGTGCGATCTCCAGGACCAGTCGATGCGCTACGGCGCCGACCGCGGTCGGTTCCACGAAATCGGCGGGAAGCGAGCGGTGGAGGACAAGAACATGGGTCCCCTTATCAAGACCTCCATGAACAGGTGTATCCAGTGCACGAGATGTGTGCGGTTCGCGAACGATATTGCCGGCGCCCCGGAACTGGGTTCGACGGGCCGTGGCAACGACCTGCAGATTGGTACCTACCTGGAGAAGAACCTCGACTCTGAGCTTTCTGGTAACGTCATCGATCTCTGCCCTGTCGGTGCTTTGACCTCGAAGCCTTATGCTTTCCGTGCACGCCCCTGGGAGCTGAAGAAGACGGAATCAATTGACGTTCTGGACGGCCTCGGCTCCAACATTCGCGTCGACACTCGTGGCTTGGAGGTTATGCGCGTTCTTCCTCGCCTCAACGACGAGGTTAACGAGGAGTGGATCAACGACAAGACTCGCTTTGCGTGCGATGGTCTCAAGACCCAGCGTCTTACCATTCCCCTGGTCCGAAGAGAAGGAAAGTTCGAGCCGGCGTCATGGGACCAGGCTCTGACTGAGATTGCCCACGCTTACCAAACGTTGAACCCCCAGGGCAATGAGTTCAAGGCCATTGCTGGTCAGCTCACCGAGGTTGAGTCGTTGGTTGCCATGAAGGATCTTGCCAACAGGCTTGGATCGGAGAACCTTGCGCTGGATATGCCCTCCGGCAACAAGCCTCTCGCCCACGGTGTTGACGTCCGCTCTAACTACATCTTCAACTCCAGCATCGTCGGTATCGAGTCTGCTGATGTTATCCTTCTTGTTGGTACTAACCCGAGACATGAGGCTGCTGTACTCAATGCTAGGATCCGTAAGCAATGGCTGCGCTCTGATCTTGAGATTGGCGTTGTCGGTCAGACTTGGGATTCTACTTTCGAGTTTGAGCACCTTGGCACCGACCATGGTGCTCTCCAGAAGGCGCTTGAGGGTGAATTTGGCCAGAAGCTCAAGTCGGCCAAGAACCCCATGATCATTGTGGGCTCTGGCGTCACCGATCACGGCGACGCCAATGCCTTCTATGAAACCGTCGGAAAGTTCGTCGACAGCAACGCTTCCAACTTCCTCACCGAGGAGTGGAACGGCTACAATGTTCTCCAGCGCGCTGCCTCCAGAGTCGGCGCCTTTGAGGTTGGCTTCACTGTTCCCTCCGCCGAGGTTGCCGAGACCAAGCCCAAGTTCGTCTGGCTCCTCGGCGCCGATGAGTTTGGCGAGGCCACTATCCCCAAGGACGCTTTCGTCGTCTACCAGGGCCACCACGGCGACAGGGGCGCCCAGATCGCCGATATCGTCCTCCCTGGTGCTGCCTACACCGAGAAGGCTGGCACCTACGTCAACACCGAGGGCCGTGTGCAGATGACCCGCGCTGCCACCGGTCTTCCCGGTGCCGCTCGCACGGACTGGAAGATTCTTCGCGCCGTGAGCGAGTACCTTGGCGTCCGCCTCCCCTACGATGATGTTGCTATGCTTCGGGATCGCATGGTTGAGATCAGCCCTGCTCTCTCGTCTTACGATATCATCGAGGCTCCCTCGCTCCAGCAGCTCAGCAAGGTGCAGCTGGCTGAGCAGAACCAGGGCGCTACCGCAAGCAACGAGCCCCTCAAGAAGGTCATCGACAACTTTTACTTTACCGACGTCATTTCCAGAAGGTTCGTATTTCCTCCTCCCTTTCAGCATTACCTGTCTTCAATCATATCTATAGCACAGTATTCACTGACAGTCCACACAGCTCCCCAACCATGGCCCGTTGCTCAGCCGCCAAGGAGACGGGTGATCCCCGAACCAACTTCATGGCTCCCGGCATGGAGGAGGATAGACCCATGGGTCAGATCGCCTATGGTGCATAGATAGACATTGGAAATGGCGGAGGGAAAGGCAAGGTAGAGGGGGGTTTTATAATGGAGACGACAGACACAGTCAAAGCAAGAAGACACTGGACCACAGTACAGTAGTTGTTCTTACCGCATGCATACCAGCTGCTGCAGAGTTGTTTTTAGAAAAATGATGAGAGACATAAAGAGTTTTGTTCTTGCTGTTTGATTTGCTTGTCTACCTCTTGTTGCTGTGTGTTTTGTGTGCTTCCACTTGTATGTATTATATGTATTGGTTGTTCTGGTCCGGGATAGAGTCGACTGTCAACGTTTGAGAGTCGCCTCGGGGAATGTCAACGTTGCAATGGCCGAGGTTGAAGATGATCTCTCATCATCCATCATCTTCGCAATATCATCTGCGTTACGGCCTTCATTCCCTTTCGCTTTCGCCCTAATTTCTCGCCATAGTCAACTGAAGCATACCATGAAGGAAAACTTGCCCGCGCCCAACCACTTTAAAGAAGCATCAGACTCAATATATGGTCGGATGTGGTCCATCTTACCCAGTTGAACGTGACCTCTGTTATTTCAGTTTCCTTGGTCCCTCTATGGGGTAGTGTCTCCTGATTTTGCATTCACAACGCCGTCTTCTTTGCCACTTAGTCATAATGAGGATACTCGACGGATTTCAACCAGTGCTAAGATTCTGGCTGAAGGAAGCAAGCAGCCTTGGTTACACCTACCAATCCTTTCGTTTGAACTATATCTGTTGAATTGGGTTAAAAGCGTTTTGCGATGCTGTCAGACATGGTACCAGTAGTCCATTATATGTGGTGCGAGCATGTTTGCCCTGTCCGAAGATATTTGTGATCAGACTAAAGGGGACAGGAGATGTCGCAGCCTCACGAGATCCACGAATACCAACAGCTTGAAGTTCCTCTGAGCTCATTTCCTGGGCTAAAATCAATATGTGCCAGAACGTGGTGGATGTCTTCCATACCTCTAAAGCCATTTATAAACAATATGCCACCGTGCTGAGCATTGTAATCTACTCATTATAATCCCTCTGCTAATGGACTGCCACATCCACTCTAGTACCTCCCATATCTTGATTTGCCAGAAGACGATGAAGGCTCTTCTGTTGACCAAAACTCCCATAAGGAGCATTGCCATCTGCTCAGTCATATTTACGCAAGTAATGAAACTGCTGCCAAAAACCCTCTCTATGCTACCATGCTATGCACTCCTTCTTCACCGTCTAGCGACATCATTTTCTTGCCCGTGATGAAACGAGAGTTCATCATCTAGCTTGGGTACTTCACTTGGATAACGGGTGCAAAGTAACGTCTGATCATGAAAATACGGTCAGTTTTGATATGTAGCCCGCTCATCTGGGATGGAAAACCGTCATGAGTGGAAACTGACTAGGAATCCATCTTCTGCGGCTGGGCTTGCTGTTGCTCCGCCTGCTCCTCCTCGTCAGGCGAAATGGGAGGGAATTCACGATCGATCAGGACCTCGGTAGTAACGGGGTTCGCGGCAGCAGCCTGCTGTTTTTGCTGTTGCTGCTTCTTCTCCCAAGGCTTCTGGGGAGCTTGCATTTTGCCGATGGGGGAGATACCCTAGAGCACAAATAAGTCGTAGGGTTAGTGTCCGTTTAAAGCTTCCTCCTTGCCCGGCAGGTTTGAGTTCTTCCTTCTACTTCTTGTTTACCCCGCAGATAGAAGCGCCATGCTCAAAGGCAAATCAAGACAGACTAAGTAAAGGAGAAACTTACAGGCTGCCGAACAACCGTATCAGGAATATTTTTAATGCCAGGGATCGGCGTCCCATTCGTGACGAGCTCGATGATGGCATTGAAACGTTCAGGGTAAGGAGCCATACCATCAGCTCCTCTTTCCGCGCCATCAGCGTTACCATCGTCGGCCTTCTTGAGCAAATCGACCTTGGGAGCCTGAACTTGCCAAGTGGGTAGGTCGTCATCGGATGCTGAAGCAGGGGTCATGCCCATGAGCTGCTGGATCTCGGCGAGCTTGTCCACTAGTTGGGCGTCGACGGGCGAGTTGGGAATCTGTGAGTGCGAGGGCGCTGAAGAAGATGACGAAGAGAGAAGATAGTTCTCGTAGGCGGACCGGTCGATGTCGATGCTAAGGCGGGACTTGTACCACCAGACGCGGGCTTGGAGAGAGATGCCGAGAGCCTTTTGGTGCTCGAAACCGTTCGAGAGGGGGCCCAGCATGGCTACGAGTCCTTGCTATGTTGATCATGATATGGTCAGTCTTGAGCTTTCATGGTGAGCGGTATCGTGTGAGATGGTTTGTGATGTGAATTCAAGGGTGAGGCTTGGGTAAGGCGTCTCACACGGTGACCGCGGGTTGACTTACAAGAAAGGGGCGGTCCTTGATCCAGGGATAGGCATCGAACTTCTTGAAGGCGGCAACATCATTACCGGCCGTTGGCGGTTGTTGTGTAGGAGCCTCCATGTTGTAGTTGTGAAAAGCGAGGGCTATTGTAGAGTCGTGTGGCCGTCCGCTGAAGCTCTGCTCCAAGAGGATGATGATCGCTGTAACGGATAGGAAAGGCTACGACGTGACGTCTCCAAGCAGGAAAGGAAGCTTATGCAGCAGGCCAGCAGCTGCAACAACTCCAAAAGCAACGGTTATTTCAAAAGACGAGAATAGCACTTCTCTAGTGTATCAAAAGTGAGTTTCCGGGAGTGGGATGACGGAATGAGGTTCAAGGGTCCGGGATGTTAAAGTGGTTGGTTTGGGGTCCGGTTTGGTGGTCCGGTCCGGGTAGGCAAGTGAGGTCCACTCAAGAACCCTGCTGTCCCGGCCTGCGCCTTCCTGCTAGGGCTGCCCCGTACCCGAGGATGGACAAGCTGACAAGGTGAGCGGAAGGTCCAGGCTCACCGGGCAACGAGCACGGACCTGAATCTCAAGATCCCGTTCCTGCCTCGCCTGCCTCCACACGCCAGGAAGGCACGACGAACAACTGACACTGTGCACCCACTGAGCTGCAGCTGTGATACAGCGGGATATCCACTGAAATCTCAGGGACGAACGTGCACTGCATTGCCCTGCCCGAGTGCGTACATTACGATATCGTCCAAAGATTGACGGACACACATTGCTCCTTCCCTTCACTTCCATGTTGCTTCCCTTCATCTCTCTCTTACAAACAAACTTCCGACCTTTTCAAATCAAAGCGTTGGCTCTTTAGGATCATACAACAGATCAGACCCGGATTTAATATTCCATTTCTCCAAGTTGTCGCCATCAGAATCGACCATCCTCGCTCCTTCCATCCAGCAGTATCCGACACTGCGTTCCCCTCTTTCTCCAATCCACGCTACACGCCCACTGATCCGGAGTCTGGACAGCCCTGAACACTACGATCGTCGGCAGCGTACCGTATCTCGCACTGGCTTATCCCCAGCGGACGAATCCATCAACACCCACATTCATCACAATCGCCCAAGATACTTTGACTCTCTTTCACTTTATCTCCTACTATCCCTCCATCTTTGGGAAGGAGTTTGTATTCAGCCTCAACAGCCATGCGTCGTGTTGCCGCCAAAGCTCTGCGGACGAGCTACCAGTGCACCTTCCGGGGCCTACGAGCTAGCCGTAGGGGATCATCTCTCCCCCTGCTGCAAGCCTCAAAGGCTGTCAGTTCCGGTTCCCCCACAGCTCATTACAATCCCCGTCTCGGCACGGCTACCGCAAGATACCTGTCGAATACCGGCGCGCGCGACTCTTCAGACGGTACGCATCACTCGAGCGCTCACCCTGAGCCCCTTCGTTCGTCCATGTACGTCCGCGGCGCCTTCGTTACCCTGCTTTCAGGGCTTGTCGCCTACGGTGCCTGGTACAATTCCGGCGACAGCAACAACGAGTCCCCGATAGCCTCGACATCTAGCGTTACCACCGCCGCTACGGGCGCTGTCCCGACCCGATCAGTCCTGGTGATCGGAGCTGACGAGTTACACACGGGCACCTTTGTAGGAGACGGCCCTATTTCCAAGACCACGAGCAATAACGAGAGGGTGGTCGAAATGTTGTCCCCGGAGCAAGCGACCCAGAGGCTACGCCAGCTCGAGCAGTCGGTCTTCGTCAACCGCGGTCAGGGCGTTTATCGCTACGATGTTTCCCAGCTACCTAGTAACGATCCGATCGAGGATGACCACGCCGAGAAGATTGTTGAGGTACCCAACAAGGCCCAGAGCAGCGATCCGACCGATTGGATGTTTTGGGGTGTTTTCGACGGCCATTCGTAAGTCACTCTCCCAAGCGGACTATCTAGATGCCGTGGTTATTGAGAGACGACTGACAAGTGGAAACTATGCAGGGGTTGGACTACATCGGCCAAATTACGCCAGGCACTGATCAGCTTCGTTGCTCGCGAACTCAACGATACCTACAAGTCTTCTCCGGATCTTATCCCGTCTGCCGCTGCGGTTGAGTCTGCCATCAAGACCGGATTTACGCGATTGGACGACGAGATTGTGAACCAAAGCGTGCAGAGGGTTCTCAAGTCCAACAACCGGCTCGTTGCTGCCGAGCACCTTGCCCCAGCCCTGTCAGGCTCATGCGCCTTGCTCTCCTTTTACGACAGCAAGTCCAAGCTTCTGCGGGTTGCCTGCACTGGTGACTCGCGCGCAGTGTTGGGCCGCAGATCCGAGTCCGGAAAGTGGACGGCACATGCCCTATCAACCGACCAGACGGGTAGCAACCCCGATGAGGCTGCTCGCCTACGCCAACTGCACCCGGGTGAAGAGCATGTGGTCCGCCACGGTCGCGTACTTGGCGGCCTTGAACCGACACGCGCATTCGGCGATGCGAGCTACAAATGGAGCCGGGAACTTTCAGAGAAGCTTCGGGAAAAGTTCTTTGGTAGGTCTGTCTCTCCCCTGCTCAAGACACCCCCATATGTCACTGCCGAGCCAGTCGTCACAACAACCAAGGTCGAGCCCGAGAATGGCGACTTCGTGGTCATGGCCACGGATGGCCTCTGGGAGATGTTGACCAACGAGGAGGTTGTTGGGCTGGTGGGCAAGTGGATCGAGACCCAGGCTGGTAGCAGCTCCAAGTCGTCGGGATACTTCTCCTTCCTGCAGAAGGGTAGCAAGACAGCCCTACCTGTCGAATCTAGCGAGTCGGAGAAGAACAGCGGCAACAAGACGCCCATTCGCCAGAGACAGTGGGGCGCTACTGGTACGGACCCGATGGAACGGTTTGTGGTCCAGGACAAGAATGTTGCTACACATCTTGTTCGTAACGCCCTCGGTGGAAAGAACCAGGAGCAGGTTTCGGCTCTGTTGACACTCCCTTCGCCATTCTCGAGGAGGTACCGTGACGACTTGACGGTCCAGGTCATCTTCTTTGGATACGACGGCCCCAAGACGGGTGAGATTGTTGTCAACAAGGAGGCGACGGCTGCGGCCCTGGCTGCTGCGGCGGCTGATGGCAACAAGACGGGGCCTGCGAAGCCTAAGCTGTAGATCCTCAACGGCATCCGCAGGTGTTTTGACCCCATATTTTTTGTCCGATTTCTTGACCTCGTTTTGTTTGTCCTTTGATTCGAACCTGGCGAGTGGGGTGTGGGCTCTGAAGAACAGTCCTCGCTGTGGGCTTTGTGATTAGGTACTTTGGCGCATGTCGGATACTTTTGTCATTTTTGGGTGAGCAAAAGGGGAAGGGGTGTTGAGGGTAACAGCGATGTCATAACGTTCAACAGATGCATTACAGGCATGGCTTTTACGGCAGCGAAGCCATTTGGTACGAATTCACAGCAACTTGATCCACAATTCCTATATGTTCAAGCATTCTCCCATCTGTTTGTTTCTTCCTGTGCCATGTTCACACGAGCTTAGCTAGCTCAGCTGGAGATTCTCTCCAGTTGGGCTGTCATATCTGATGCAGCTGCAGTGCATGGGCTACATGTATGGCTGCACAGGACATACAACTAACAGCCCTATGAATCTTCGTGATACCCAACCTAACTTACGACGTAGAACCTGTGGATGGCACACGTTTGGCAAGAAACAATGTACAGGACATACAGCACATAGCAAGTGGCTTTTACATATCTCCATGCTCAGGACCCTTTCTGCTTTGCAACCTACATGGCGTTTGTTGCACAACCATAGAGATTGTTGAGGCTATCTGTGAAGGTAACACAGCAGCAAGTAAGCCACAGCTAGGCTGTCAAATGGAAACCCCTGAACTAAGGATGAGCTAAAGTGGACCATGTTATCTCATCTTGGACGCAGCCGGCCAACAGCAGTTCAAGACTATCTCCAAACCTCCAACAGACCGGTCCGGTTATTGCGACTGTATATTTAGTCTCTGCGACTTGTGTGGGCCTGCCCAGACTTCCAGCCAGCCAGTTAAATCAATGTGAACACATATTCATCGCATATTACTTTGGCGGGGATTTTGTAGACGTAAATATCATTAATTATTTGCACTAACAACATATACAAAAGTTAGTAATTTAATTAAAACTATTAAGCTATTGTACTATCATTGCTATTACTATCACTAAAGTAAATTATAATATTGAGGGGTAATAAAATGTACTTACTAACCGTTAGTATTACAAATACCTAAAATTAACAATCTTATACTCTTTTAGCTAGAGTAAGAACCTGCCCGTATCCCCAGTTCTACTCTCTTGATTGAATAGATTAAACTAGAGTCGCGCAACGACGAGCGCAACTATCTCAATATTAATTCTTAACGTGTAGTTAGTACTGTGCTTTGTTACTGCCTTGTACTACCTTGTAGTATAAAAGGCTGATTAAACTATTCCTTCTATAGAATCAGTCGACTCAGTCATCATAGAACGTGCTAGAATATAGAAGTTTTGCTACTGTATTCTAGAATTCTTTAACTTGTTCAGTGTGACGGCGCGGCTCAACCGCTGATCAGCATTGCTCTTATGGCTGCATGGTTCTTGGCAGTGCATAGTATATCCTTTGCGCCGCAGCTATCCTTTGTATTTTAGTTCTTTTTTTTCCTCATCTTTTGATCTTCATTCAATAGTAGGGTCTTTTGTCACTTTGTCGCATTCCTTCCTATAATGGCCTGGTCATCCGTTGCAACTATATAAGACTACTTGAGCGACCAAACTGCTAGCTTTGGTTACTTGTATCCTTTTGTAAGGACATGGTCTGGTTAGTATAATAGTCTGCCACCGCCATAATACTTTCTTCTATTCCCCATGATATTCAGCATTCCTTCTAGACTGATTTGTCATCATAGAATGCATCAGAAGCTCATAAATTCAGTTCATTCCTTTCATAATATAGTGCTTCTACAAGCACTCCTATCAACTTACAGAAGCTTCTACACTCTGGAAGCTTTTAGATACTTAACGTTCGTGTATATAAAAACCTCTTCTCTTTTTTAGTTAGTTACTCCTTAAGGAAGCAAACAAGCAAGCACAATCAAAGCAATACAATATAGTCTACTTCTAT